CCTCTTCCTCTTCCTCTTCCTCTTCCTCTTCCTCTTCCTCTTCCTCTTCCTCTTCCTCTTCCTCTTCCTCTTCCTCTTCCTCTTCCTCTTCCTCTCTTTGTTCTCTATCGCTCTCCATCTTGATTTCCATTGCTAACATACCTGCCTTGATAGCTACGGCACTGCCCAGTCCATCAAAAACACCTACGATGCATCGACCAGTGCCGCCTTCAGCTGCCAGGACAACTCGAACACAGTGGCATCGTAGACCTCAATCAACCAAGGGTTAGGGTTAGGGTTAGGGTTAGGCTGTTTTCTCAGGGTTAGGGTTATGGTGAGGGTTTGGTCTGTTATCTCTTGTTTTCTGTTGTCTGCTGTCTGTGGTTCGTCCTGGATCCTGGATCGGGCCTTAACAAGACTCATGTTCGCTGTCCACGAGTGCAGAAAAGACCAGCACCAGACCAGTGAGGCTACAATACCCCAGTACGCGAGCTGTCGTGCACTGGCGTAATTAGCCCAACGCTGCAGTATCGGTCGTTGTCGTTGAGATGCGAACGCCGGTCCGGTCAATGGGTAGCGATTGGTGGGCGCATTGAGGGGGGTGTCGATGTACCTTGTATATGTCAAATTTGGGCACTAACTTAGGCATTCCCAGCGTTGCCCTTTACCTTTAACCAGAAGGCTGGTTTAAGCTATGCTATACTATACTATGAAGCATGCGCTCCCCCTGCGACCCTTACCCTTTGATAGAGAACATGGAAGATTTCAACCTTTGATAGGTCGGTCAATAGCGAACGAAAGGACCTGATGGCTGAAACTGAAACTGAGAAGATTGATTTAGAGAATCGAAAAATACTACAAATATCCGTTAGATCATCGGTCTGAGTGACTAGAAAGAACTACCTAAGGCTAGAGCCTAAGATTGATCGGATGGAAGAAATCGAAAAACAAGTATCCCGTTGCTAGACTAAAGCATGCTTTCTACAAAATACTTCAGCACGCCCTCAGGATCCAAGTCCGGGCCGAAATTCCCTCCCCTGATTTCATGTGTGATGATCTCTCGCCCTAGCCCCTTGACCGCGTCGAAATAAGGCCAGAGCACATCGTCTCTCGCACACAACGCCAGGATCTTACAGCTCGGGCTGGTCTTCTTGATCGACTCGCCCACGTCGTACGCCCAGACACACGAGTAGATCTGGCTTCGGCCCTTCCACGCGCGGATGTGGTCGATGGCTTCGCGCTGCAGCAGTTCCAGGTGGGTTGCCAGGATGCCCTCCCACATGAGGTAGTCCCAGGTCTTGGTCAAATGCTCGCCCGACGCCACGGGCCGATTGAAGGGGGCCAGGAACGTCTTGGACATCTCCTGCCGCGCGGCCGCGTCCATGACGCCCGGACCCACGAAGGTCAAGCTGCGCACAAAGTCGTGATGTTTGGCCGCCAGGTCGGATCCTAGAACGCCGCCCGAATGGTGGCCGATGATGTGGCATCCGTGCTGGAATTCCGCCCACGGCGAGAATGTCTCGTAATACAGGTCGGCGTACCAGGCGATGGCGGGAGGGTTGGAGGACGGATCAAACGAGGACCCGAACCCGGGCATGTCGGGTGCGTAGCAGCGGTAACCTAGCGCCGCGAGACGCACCATCATCGAGTGAAAACATCGTGACGATGATGCCGACATGTGCAGCAGGAGGATTGGGGGGTGCGGCGAGCCATCTGAATCTGAATCTGAGCCTGAGCTAGAGCCAAAGGTGGTCGACGGCAAGGTGTAGTAATAATGGAGCTGGCCTTCAGCCGTGTCCACGTACGCGCCCTTGACTACACCAGGACCAGGGCCGATATGGGATGGGGATATGGATGCAACCATCGAGGATTGTAACCTTGGTTCGGTTGGCAGACAAGCTCTACTGCTCGGACGAAGAAGGCGAAGGACTTGGAATTCTCGCAGAGTCGGAGTCCTTCTAGTTGGTCGAGCCCCTGGTCGTGATATAGATCAATCATCACGATATTCTGGTGTGTTCAACCAGAGGGACAGAGAGATACACTGTTGTCAGCCATCGCGTCGATATCATCTGGTGAATACATGGGTACCTAGCCAGTCCGGGCCATGCCTTGGACTGCCCGCGTCTGGTCGGGAGCTAGGCTGGTCTCCGACGACAACCCCCTTCCTTTGCACGGGCCAATCAACAATAACATGCTGATTAGTCGATAAGCCACCACACCACACGCGGAAGACATGGCAATGAAGGCCTTCAGCCGTCACCGGCCGGGCGGGACAGTCTCTTGGATAGTCTCCTTGATGGCTTGGCCTGACTTGATCCGGCCGGAACGGTGAGGCTATGAACCGGTGCCCCAACCGTGAATGACCGCACCGACATGGCATCAAAGCTGGACCGGCAAGTTTTTCTGCAAATCATCTTTTCATTGAAGCGAATACATATGTCCAGGGTCAACTTGGCCCAAAGCAGCATGACCAAGCGGCGTTTGTGATTCAACCATCAGGTGAACAGCTAGCCACCAATATGCCCATGGCCATCCAGCCTCCATTTGCAGACAAGATACACTTCCAGGAACAGAAGGCGCCAAGCCACAAGACGGTCTTCTCAGTGACCGCGATTGAAACCCAGTCGACAAGCGATGAAATTCAACAGAATGGGAAGACTGCGGCGTCGACCTGTACGATTATAGACCTAGCGGGCGACGCTGAGGCCGAGGCTGAGGCCGAGACTGCACAGGAGGAACAGCCTGACTTGAATCTTGTGGGCTCCAAGCAAAGGGCACTGGTAATCACACCCAGCCGGGCATTTCAGATCATCCATGACTTTCCAGTGCCGCGAGAACTGGCCCCCGGGGACGTCATGATTCGGAACAAGGCCGCAGGTCTCAACCATATCGACTGGAAAAGTGTCGAGTACAACTTCTGTCTCCCCGAGCTTCCTTGGATTATCGGACGTGAAATGGCCGGTGTGGTCGAGCGAGTTGGAACAGAGGTCACCAACCTGAAGCCGGGGGACCATGTGTGGACCAGTGAGTACCTCATCTCAGTCTCTACTTCTCGGTCGACACGCTCCTAAACATCCAATCTCAATCTGATAGGTACATATTATCGAGACCGTCGGGCGGGCTGCTTCCAGGATCTCGTCGTGGTTCCGCACCACACGGTTTTCCTCATTCCATCCAATTTGGATTTTCATGCCGCCGCCATCCTCGGCGTAGCCGGACTGACGGCCGCCATGACCTTGTGGAGATGGCTTGGTGTCCCTATGCATCCGGACCCGGCCCCGGCCATTGGCACAGGCACGAATAGACAGAGGCCAGAGGTGTTACTCATCTGGGGTGGCTCAACAGTGACCGGGCAATTCGCCATCCAGCTAGCCGCGCGAGTTGGGGTGGAGGTCATCGCCGTCTGTTCTGGGGCGACGGCACCGACGGTAAGCTCGCTAGGGGCGACCCATATCGTGACCTACACAGGCAAGACGCATGCGCAGGTCGTGAATGAAATTGTGTGCTTGGCCAGAAGACGGCTGACCAAGGCCATTGACCTCGTGGGCTCCGTGACAGCGAATCTGGTGCTGCAGGTCGTCGCAGCGTGCGACCACGACCAGCCGGTCGACTTTGCTCCTTTGGCGTACATGTCGGGCCGAGAGGTGGTGCCATCGAATGTGAGGCTTCATGTGGTGGAAATGAAGCAGTTCGTGATGGACAGCAGCTGCAGAGTATATGGAGCGCAGCTGAACCACCTGATCGAGCAGGGAGCTATCAAGCTTCCAGAGGTCTCGGTGCTACAAGGAGGCGTGGACGTGGTGGAGGAAGGATTGCGACAGGTGAAGGAGGGAAATCTTGCGGGAAGAAAGCTGGTGGTATCTTGGTCTCCTTCAGACGGATGAAGAAAGTTCTTTGTTGCTGAACTAGACGCAGTTCTTTGTTCCATCAGGTACTATGTAATGTAGTGTAGTGTCAGTGAAGTATGGTCAGTGAAGTATGGTCAGTGAAGTATGGTCAGTGAAGTATGGTCAGTGAAGTATGGTCAGTGAAGTATGGTCAGTGAAGTACTGTCAGTGAAGGACGCGAATGGTGTACGGTCTACACACAGGCAGTCACCGCATGGAGGTTTCTAACTGCCTGCGCCACTGCCACTCTTATTCACTGCCAGTGCTGTAGGTGTACAACTCTTTCTTATATAATACCATCACAGCATCCTCTGCCGTCTCGACTCTGCATCGACTCTAGCCTTCTCATCCCTCACCACCTACCAAGCTCATCACGGACATCTCATCCATACCCATCCCCTCGACAGCCGAGAATATGAGGCTCGACAAGCGTCCCGGTGTTGATCTTGAAGATCCTGCCCCGCGCAAGATCCCTCGACAGGAAGATGACTACATGGAAACAAAGAAGAGAAATGGATCACAGAGAGAACGTCCTTCACACGCCTCAACGCAGTCCGATGGTCTATCCGAAAACCTCCAAGCAATGAATGATCAATTCCAAGTAAATATAAGAGTCGACACCATGACCAAATCACTCATAAAGGATCCGAGACCATTGAAGGCTTCAGATCTTGTAACTGGTGAAATTCTGAAATCATTTGGAAGCCCGGGGCAGCCACAAGGCGACGGTGTTACTGTCACGTACAAACAACCCCTAGCCTGGACATATGATATCAAGTGGCTGGAATCCATGGACGCATTTGCAAGCTGTGATGACGCCCCAGAAGAGACCATCGGATCATGCCATGCCGAGCTCATCCGACGAAACGACATTAGAAAAAGCTTCTACCGTTCCATGCTTGGGCCATTTGAAGAGATCACATTGCTAGCATTCGATCTATTCGACAAGTACGGCAAGCTCAACAATGACTACAAGCATCATGAGATCAAAAAGGGCTCTGGACTCTGGAAGCGGCGGTTGGACGAGGGAGACATCCTGCTGATTGAAGATGTGCGTGTCCAAGAACCATATCGATACCGTGGAATTGGGCAGAAAATGATACGAGCGCTGATGGCAGCCGCTAGCGAGAAAACTGTAGGTGGCCGATTCGTTGCAATCGTGTGGCCGAATTCTTTGAAGGACTTCTGGTTCTTGGATACGATGAAAGCGATTGTGGAAAGAGAGAAGGGGGCTGGCAACTTCCCATACGAAGATGCTCTCTCAATCCAATGGTTTAGGCTTCTGGGCTTCAAGCGAATAGGTTCCTCGATCTGGTTTGGACTCCCCTGGGAAGGCACTCAACCGTCGCCTGGCTTTCAAGCGGGTGGCGACTATGATCCACCTCACAGAACCGTTGCGGCTCACCAGAGACTGCCAGAATGGCTGGTCGGGTCCCTGACAGGACCGCCACGCGACAATTTCGTCTCGCTGATGAGGCGCCACTCCCTCCAGATCCCCTTCGGGAGTAAAGAATGGCTGGCTACAGACGAAGACGGAAACACTTTACTCCACCTTGCCGCTCTACGCTTCAGTTTGAATGGCTTGACCTGGATTCTGGAGAGTGAGGTCGGTTCTCAGATGGAACAGATGCGAAACTCAGTAGGTGATACTCCATTGGAGGCCCTCCTGCTCAAGCTCGAGGCGAGGCGGACCCGGAAGATGTCTCGTTCCTGGGACATCCGAGCCGTGAAGTTTGAAGGACACGACATCAAAGCGGTCAAGTGTGTCGCCAAGTTGAAAGGTTTACCGCTCGATACATGTACCGATGTGGACTTGGCACGGATTTCCTATGGTTGTACTTGCGGAGAATGCATCGAAGGCTTTCTGAGTCCTCGCATGAGCTATGCCCTGTGGACACAGGCCGAGTCCATTCACAACAGCGTCAGCGCCGGCTTCTCAAGCGACGTCGAGTCTCTTTCCCGGCTCGAACGGATTTATCAGAGCAGGGCTTTGTCTTTACCGACGCTGCCTAGTTACTGCCGAAAGCAGCTTATGAGGTACAAAAGCATGCGCCGAGGGCTTGTCCACCTCTGTTGGTGTCTTGTCAATTGCCTGCGATTCCGACAGCCTCTGAACGAGTATACTATCTACCCCGCTATTGAGCGTACGCCTCGCCATCTCCGAATCGCGACTAGAAATTTCTTTGTAGGTCTGGGGAGCCTTGAAGCTGTGGTACTGGCGATCTTTCAAGCTGCAGTTGACAATGATGAATTTACTGGAAATGGCGAGTTCCTCAAGCAGGTGGCGGGTAAAAAAGATTACGAAGACTTGCCTCATTGCCGGAACGACCACGAGTTCAACCTTGTGTTCTGTAAAGTGTTCCGTGACTGGGATGTGAGCCACAAACTGAAATTTTAGTTGGCCGAGGTGGTGCACATGTCATTTATCAATTGTCGGGTCGTTCAATTGTCGGGTCGTGCTGGCAAGGGGATATTTGTACTGCTATCTCCTCCACCACTCCAAGTCGGCGTCATACTACTGTGTGAATAGAAATTGGATAGATGACCAACAAATATGATGAAATAGAATCTGATATAGTTTCACCAACATTCGGGACCTCAGGCCATGGCTAGAACACTTACTACGTGGTAAAGTACTACTCCGTAAATTAGTACAGAAAGGGCAAGGCTGTCCACGGTCAGGGGCCCAAGGCCTCCTGTAAGGCTAAGGGGCCACTAAAATTAAATGACAATAATAGTCGTGTACGGATACAGTACTCCGTATATCCGGCACCTATCTGGGATGTGGTATGTACCTATAATCTTCACCTGCACCTTAATCATCCGACCAGACCAGACCCAGGGAGGTACCTAAGGTAATCTTGTCTCGTGATAGACCTTTCACTTGATCAGCTGAGCTCTACAACTTCTCACTACATGTAGTACCTGAGCCCCCCTCACTTACAGAGTATACGCACAGACACTCCACTCTGCTGCACTGCCCATCGAAGATGATTCCGACCACGGCGTCCTCACTGATGACTGCCTGTCCGGGGCTGCAGTTGTAGTACCTATGTTCCATCTACACTTTCCACACGTCGGCGGTCTTCGTCAGGAGCGCTTGTCAGGTGATGGTGACGGTAGCCAGAGAACATCAAGGTTGCTATCTACTCTAGTATGTAGTACGGAGAGTATCTGTGGAACTCATTTCATGGCAGGACAGGGCAGGGCAACTAATCTATCCCATCTTATTCTATTCTGTCCCCTCCCTTTTCCTTTTCCCTTTCCCTTTCCCTCTCCCTTTCCCTCTCCCTTTCCCTCTCCCTTTGTCTGCTCATCGGATTAATTGCCTTGCGAGCACGATACATTCTTGTGCTTTTCCCCCTTGCAAACATAATACATTCTTGTTCTCTTCCCCCTTGCAAGCACGATACATTCTTGTGCTTCCCCCCCTTGCAAACACGATACATTTTCGTGCTTCCCAATTACTGTAGCACGTTGGGTTGGCACTCACTCACTCAACAGAGGGCATGTACTTGACTGGATGAAAGCGTGCACAGTTGATTATCTACAATGGGTAAGGTAGTCAATTGGCCGTTCTCCTTACCACATGACATGCATGCATGCTTGTGCCTCCCTCTTGTCCCTCGATTCTCTTTCCCATATGACATGCATGCTTGTGTCTCGTTCCTCGCTTGCCTCGTGCACATGAAATGCTTCTCTTGTACAAGCTTCCAAGTCATCATGTCCTGCGGCCGAGAAAGATGGCGAGGTTGCGATTGCCGCGCTGACTGCAGTGCGTATTTGGCTCCTCTGTCCCACTCTGGATCATGGGTTGTGCACAAAGTAGGCAGGCATTGTACCGGTACGTCACCACAGGAACACAATAAAATAGTCTTGGTCCCTTCCAGATTATCGATTGATAAAGCCACTCCTGCGTTGGCCAGACATATAGGGCTCGGCTCGCAATTCTACTTGTGAGACAACGTCCTGCAACGCGACGCAGAAGTGCCTGTGATCTGGCCAAGTTAATTTTGTCGCACTCATGCCTATATTCTTGCACAGTTAGATTTATCCCACTCTGCGATCTGATCTGGATGTTTTTGGTTCATATCTCAGTCTTCGATGGCGGTTGGTCAACCGCGACGCCTTTTTCCCCAGTTTAATGTAAGACCGACTAGGAACTCCTGAAAAGGCAAATCCCCAGTCATCAGCTCCTAGATATTCTCGGTGTCTTGGAACCAGGGATGCTCCAACGCCTGACGTGCCGTGATCCGCCTCGTAGGATCTAGATGCATCATTCTTTGAATGACATCTTGGAATGCCGTGTTGCGAATATCTGGCCAATCTGAAAATGGTCGGTACGGAATATAGTCCGCGGCCCGGTCCTCCCAAAGCATCTGCAGGACCTGGCAGTTGACTTCCTCGTCGCCAACGTGCTTCATCAGCCCGTTCAATCCTTCCAGATTTCCAAAGTATGAAATCTGACGTTCTAGACGAATAAGATGAGGAAGTGCACCCTGTGCTTGATGTGTTTGGAAATCATCGTCAGGCCCAAAGATGACGCGTTCGAGCATTGCGTATATGCACTAATTCGTATGTTAGAGGTACTATGTATGCTTGGCTTGAATAATACTACCTGGTACTTACCACGGCTCCAAAAGAGAATATGTCAGACGGCTTGTTGAGCTCACCCCTGAAATGTCCCTCCGGGCTGCGCCAATTGTCATTTCCAGCAAGCATCCCTTTGATGCACCTGCCTTTAGGGAGATATGCCGCGTTTTCGAGGTCGGTGATCTGAACCTGTTCAACTACTGTTTCTTGATCGACATGGTGATAGTCAACCAAGATGTTGTCAGATTTAATGTCTGGATATAATCAGCTCCGCATAACAGGAAGGTAAAAGTCGCTTGATATACCTAGATGGACGACATCTCGATCATGCAACTCGGCAATGCCCTGCAGACTAGCTTGGAGTATCTTCTTCCTAGCCTTCATGGGGATTTTCTTCTTGACTAGGCTCAGGAAGTCGTCGTCCAGGTACTGGTACACAAAAATACGCTGGTCCGGGATGGTATCCAGTGGCAGCCGTATGTGTGGGCAATCGCGGAGCCGGTGCCATGTGTTCTCGTAAAAAGCGGAGAATATGTCTTTGGGAATATCCTTGAGGACAAATTTATCTTGTCCGGATCTGCAGTTTCTGTCAGTTACGAGTTGGATGTGAGTTGTAAGGACGCTCGAACGTTGCCAACCAAACACGACCCAGGTGTGGTCTCTCCTGAATCAGCGCTTTGAACACATAACGACGTTCTGCAGCGCCAATCAGTTCACCGGAAGCAGATGCAAATTTGACGGTGTTTTGGAGCATCCTGCTGCTGATGAATGACCGAATATTCCTGAGAGCTCTTGGAACTCTAGCAAATGCGGTTCAAGCGCAGCTGGCCATGCAAAGCGACGGTTGAGAGCTTGAGGTAGGAAACAGGTGACAAAAGCGCTGATCCGGCCATTAGCGTGCTTTTGTCCGGAAAATCTTTGGCGTAGCAACTCTTAATGTATTCAATGGCTCGTCGATACCAGGGCAAGCATCTAGTAGGCCTAAACTAGAAATAAGTAAGCCACTATATTTGTAACATGTCATATACAGCCATACACTTAACCCATTTCCAAGACCAAACCCCCATAGGCGAGGAATTGGAATTTGAGGACAATTAGACGATATCCAGGCAAAAGTAGCAGCTTCGCACCGAGTCTTTTCATCCAACTCGGTTAGACCTCCAACCATGTGCGGGAATGGGCATCTGAGTAAAAGTCGCTGTTCCCGCCAGTTGGTAATGGTGATTGGGACACAAGTATTGAAGTCGCCATATAGCCATTCGGACCTAGCCGAGATCTTGCACTGCTGGGTCTTATTCAAGGAAAGGTGATGTGAAACAATATCACGGATATTAGATGCATGAGACTGGAGGTGGTCAAAAAACTCTTCTCTCAAGTGCGGTCGTTGTAATTTGACAAGCATGTTATAATCCTCTTCTTCAATCTGAGTCCAGTCTGGAGCAGCGGTGTCTATGGCCGCAGCCGACAACGCAGGCGGATCATGAGAGTCTTCATCACGCAGAATACTGCCATCGTGATTCACACGGGACGGAGGACGGAGGACTGAGAACCAAAGATGGTGTGGAGCATGAAGGATGGAGGATGGAGGGATTGTGGATCGACCATCGAAAAGGGTCCCGTTAGACGGGAAAAGACTGATAGATGGGACAGTCGGGGTGTGGCAGGGAAGGGATTGAATCTGTCGGTAACGAGTAAAGAGTAGGAGTCTGCCTGGGTGCCAAACTTGAAGTCAGACACTGTACGAAGTACACTTTCGAGGCAAAATAGCAAAGGTTTAACCCAAAGAGAAGGAAGCCATCAAAGGACGATGGTGGCCTTTCGCGAATTCGACCCCTAAGTCCTACATGGGGTTAGTTCGGGTCACATGATCTTTATCCGGCGAGGAATAACAGTACTAAGCGCCCTAAGGTCTGACGAGATCACAACATGAGGACTGTGGTAAACGACAAGACTTGGGAGAACCGGCCATTTCTCCTTGAAACGGGATCGTTGCAGAGCCCTGACCTTGGGGCTGTTCCATAAAACGAAACATCAATTATTGTCATCAGCCTAAGCATTCATAACTACCTTATGGAAAGCGACCCGGTCGAAGTTCATGCAAAATTATCCAGACCTTGACACCATCGCTTCGATGAACCTTTGCCCCTCGTCATGTGAACCTCCAGTCATTGGTTTGGTCCATCGTCATCAAAGCCTCTGGCATTCTGCCGCTTTCTCCGGGGCGGGGAAATTTGTAGAGAATGTCTTCTTAACCGTTTGCCAGGCTGTTTGCTCAAAGAAGGCCTATCTGATAGGATTGCAGAGTCGTGAGAATTGATCGTTGTATCATTCTTGTTGCTCGAAGAGATTCGGGGTTCCTGATCGAGAGGTTCAGTTACATCGGCTTGATCCAATACAGGCTCGGATGTGAGGCTATGCACTTCCTCCAAGCTCGTCTCGACCGCAAGTATTGTATTTTGACTGTCATTTGCCCTCTCGTTCGCGTGCATGATGGCCTCATCTCTTTGTTCTTTGGCCCAATCCAGAGCATTTCTGTAGACAGTGGCTCCATCTCGGAATGCTCCAGGTGTGTCATTCAGCGCAACCGATCTCAGTCGATGCATAAGATATGAGGGCCGACCATCAGGACTGGTTGGTGGAGTACAGTGAATGGTGAATATCTGAAGCACCCCGCTGGAATAGAGGCACGACATGGTATGAGCGTGATTGTCAAAGACTAGCTCTTCATGTCCAAAGGACTGTAGGCTGAGTATACCTCTCTCTCCCAAAGCCCCATCGTAGGTAGCCTGCCTGGTCGCAACCGACAAAGTTCCATTTGGTCCTTTCACGGCAAGAAAGAAATTCGGCACGATGGGGAGGTCATCCTGTGTCGATGGGATGATAGACTTGCCTAGTGCATCCCGGACGCGTCGGTCCAGCTGCTCTGGACGCGCTCCGTAGTAAATGTCTGGATTTCCAGGGCTGATTGCCATGTCCAGGAGGGGATCCAGGTTCAAGAATGGGATACCCCCCGACACGCATTTACTGTCGCCAATCTTTCCCCGAATGATGGGTATTACCGAATCGGTCACTTGCTTCTCCTTAGCAGCATTTGCATCCATCCGTACAAAATCTTCATGTTCTTTGTCCGAGAAGTTTGATGCTGAAAGGGAACGTCGTGGCAGGTGCAATCGTCGGTGGATTTCTTCCCAGTTGTCGGGTTTTTCTGGTACTCTGCCATCTGGAAACTGGTACATAGGGGGATAGACTTCTCCATCGATGAGAAACTGCTGAAAATTGCGGTCATACGGCCCGGTGCTTTTGGTATGCTTGGTGCGGGAGGATTGAGTGGTCGATACGGACTTGAACCTAACCCGGCCACGCGGTCGGGGCGGTCGGGACCGACTTGACTTCATCGAGTAAGTCAGAGGGTCAATGGGTTCTGGAAACTAAATGAAGATCAGCATCGAGAACAGAGAAACAGCGGCTTACTCACGCCTCTGATGTCTGATAGGTCTGGTCCGCCGGCTCTTGCAAACTTTTTCAATTCTCTGAGGCGGTCTGGCTCGCAATGACGAAGCAAATCGGTAACGGAAGGAATTGTAGTTCTTTTCTGAAGTTGAAGACGAGTGACTCTAGGCTGAAAACCACATAGTGCTCCGGATAGTGGACGAGACTTTGCTGCCACCTGAGTGTTTCTTCGATCTAGCTCTTCCAAGGCACGCTTTGTCAAATGGACACTTGATAAATTGTCCCAGAAAGCTGGTGGTGGAAAGCGAGGTTCACCATGGTGGTTACGCTTCGTTCGCTTCGTTTGCTTCGAGGCGTGTCCGCATGTTTCGTTTGGTGAAGGCGAAAGCTGTACCGAGTTTCGACGCTCAGGTGGGCAGAAGTGCTGAGCTTCAGTCATTAGGAATGAGAATAGGATGGCGACCAAAGGCGGCTGTCCTGTACTTCAAGTCGAACCTTCCGTTTGAAGAGGGTAGGGCTTCCCACTCTGTCAGAGGTACCTAAGAGGTAAACATTGCTTGTCGCCTGGGGTCCCCGCACGAGGTACATATGTACATGTAGGTATGTATCCGTACTCCGTACTCTGTTAGTTAGTAGTAGGTAGGCTTAGCCCCTTACATACCTACATAGGTATGTAGCCTCTTAGCCCCTTAGCCCTTGATTCGATATCTTGGCAGGCACCTACCAAATGTACGTGGCAGGGGCGCAGCGGTGTAGGGGCGCGTGCATTTGTGCGCTCACTCCTCACTCCTCACTCCTCACTCCTCTGCCAACGTCTTCCATGTTGCACTGTTGCACTGCAGTGACAAACGCAACCAGCCGTGTGCTGTTACAGTACGTGACTGACACCACAGACACCATCCCGCTGCTAAGGCCTCTGGCTGACAAGTCCCCTGCATGTTCTAGACCACAATTTCACCCCTTTCTGCCTGCCCAACTGTCCACAGAACCGTGGATTTTGCATTCCTCCCCCTCGTTGAAGATAACCAGGTACACTTCCTGCCGCTGAGGATGAGCAGAGACCATCAATCCTCTTTTTCTTGCAATCTGGATGTCTATCGATTTCTCCCAACTCCCCACTCCGTGGACGGCCGAAGGGCCCCTGCAGCCTCCCGCGGTACTTTGATTGCCTGGTACATAGGTAGGTGCCTGGAGCTGAGAAATATGGATACCGATACCATGGCAAGATGCAGGATCTAGGCTAGTAAAGCCAGCCACCAAAATCCTCACACTGACCCTGTGAAGACTACGATTTGATCAGATCAATCCCGCCCTTTTGTAAAATATAGGGAAGCAACAGCAAAACATGGCTTTTGGCAATACTGAATTCATCCAAGTGCTCCTGCACGAGGGGTATTAGTTTAATGCACAGCCTGTGACCTCTTCTTCATCCCGTGGGTGTCGGCTGTACGTCCTCCCTCTTGCTCTGATAGATGCACTGGTGAAATGCACCACACTTTCCTTGGTCAACGACGCAGCCTATCAACACTCAACATCGGAGATGCTGCGCAATAAGTCCCGGAGCCCTGCTGATGCCGCGGGAATACACATGCGACAGGTCTCTCTGACCCATTCCCGTCGATGCACGTATCAATTTGGAGCCAACAGGCCCTTGGAAGACCAGTCGATCATGTCCTTGTCTACGACAACCCCCAGACCCAGGCTGCAACTGGTGATTGATGCATGTTTTAATGCTCCGTGCCCTCCCCGGTAAGAAACGCAGGAGGAGCCAGTATGTCCTTGGCACAGGAGAGATGATTGCCATCTCTCGCTGGTGAGACTGATACCTTTAAAGTCGTCTCGGCCGGTATAGATGGACTTGGACCTTCCTGCTCACTTTTCCACAATTGAGAATCTCTTCGAGTTGCTGGCGACTTTTCTCAATATGATCACACCGCTGAGTGCGATCAAGTATCTGATTCGCCATATATTTCTCCCACCCAAACTGCCTGGCAAAGATGACTCCAGTCCAGACCACGACGGAGTCTTACTGGACACCACCATTGACGCACTTTAGGCGTTCAAAGAATGGGTCGTGGAGGACCACAAATGCCCCATCGACAACATCATTGAAATGGTGACCAGCGTCAAAGCTGTAGGTGACACCTCCGATCTTGGGGGCACCATAAACGAGTGGAAGTTGTCCAGGGCGCTGAAGGATTTGCCTCAGCAAGGTAAACATCTGCTCTTTTCACCACACTATCTCGGGAAGCTAAACCGGCCTTAGGTGGTACAGTTCTCCTCCATATCCGAGCCCAGAATGCTGGTATCATGATCAGTAAGGTACATGGATCCATTCACATTGAGGCTTTTGAACTGTCTCCTCTCAACCATCCGGTTCTCACCACGAAGGGTCGACTTCAACGTTCTTTCCCAGGCCCCGCCTTGGCTTTGACCGTTGATGCGTTTGAGCAGCCTGATTTTCAGGCAACAGTGGCGCACACGCTGGCTAAGATGAGCCATCAGTCTGCTCCGGACACGCAACCCAAAGTCGGGAAGGCCGGTCGCATGCACGACGAAAACCGTGACACGACCCATCCCAAAATTGTTACCGAGCTGTTCATGGGCTTCCTGGCGCCTGTGGGGAAACCTGTGGAGGTCCCTTGTGTGTGGAAGAACACCCGTGAAGAAGTCATGTGGCACGATGCCCTGTTGCCCTGGCGAAGATCTCCCCTATGGCTACTTCTCCGCGTCGCCATGCAACTCACTTTTGCCAGATGGGCAGGTCCGGGGAATCCATCGGCCGATTATTACAAAACATTCATTTTGTTCCTGATGGGACGGGTGCTGCAGATGTCGATCCCACACGGAATCCATTGCGATGTGTTGTACGCGATGAACGCCAAACTTGGGCGCCGCCTCCTGAAACTCGATGCGTCTGTTCCTAGAAGTGGGCTTGCGGTCGTTCGAGCCACCATGCGCAAAACCACTGGACACATTGGGGAGAGGTGGGCGAGAGTGATGCAGGATGCCTCTCCTCGCCATGATCTGACTTTACTCGAAACCCTGGATTTCGAGCGAGATGTCTGGACTACTCTCGATGGTCTCGCGGACTTTGTCTCCTCACTGTCTGTAAGGGAAAACCACACGGCCGTGGCCACCTTCCAGCCCACGTCAATCCTGGTCAATCACCCGGCCAGCGCTCTACCTAGCCCTCCGGGTAACTCCACAGAGTATACGGTGTACAATCTCAAAGCTTTCGAGGCCTGGGTCGCATGTCATTTGCCCCAGTGGCTCAAGCACCACATAGGAGATGTGACCACTTGCGGAAGGTTGCATGTTTTGATCAAGTCATACTATCAAACAGCATCATCACGGTACGTTGGTAACCCCGAGAGCTTCTCTGTCCTACTCTTGACCACCATTGAGCTCTGGATCGCCTGCGACCAGTCTGCGTTGCATCTATGCAGCCTTCTCAAGGACTACAACCCAGGTGTTCCTCCAGACGTCGTTCAAGGTTTGATATTGCCTTCCAAGTCCCAGATGCAACGACTGCTCTACGCAGAAGATTATCTCGAACGCCGTCGAGGAACTGCAGGTCACCCGTCTCCGTCGATCTATCGGGCCTATGGTCAGGAAACTTGTTTTGCCGTGAGATACTTTGATCAGTCCTTGGAACATCAGCAACTCCGTCGAGTCATTGAGACCACTGCCATCCAGATGAGACAGACGAAAATTGATGAACTCCGCTGTAAAAAGGAGGAGTATGCATCCCTAATGCGACGTTACGATGCAAACACCTGCGACTATTACGAAGTCGTGGTTGATTACAATGACGTTCCGGAGCAACGCCATAGTGCCGTGTGTAGAAGATGCCTCTACAAGCGACAAGCGAACAATATCAACATCGAGATTCACGAGTGGCCTCTGCCGAGGAATGAATTGGACACCAAATCCACGGTCTTTGAACTCCATGTCCCTCCCTATTTCGCCCAATGGCGTGACACAACTCTATTCCTTCTTACGGGGGTCTTGAAGGCAAGACCTCCATGCGCAGATCAGCCGCGGGCGCGATATACTCTGAGTACCTACAGTGGCCTTTCATCCTTCTTTGTCCCTCCCAGTAGCACCCAACGCCTCGTTCTCTTATCTCAGGCCAAACCACACGGGGTGACGCATCGTCACAGCAAAACCATCCCCACCATCACCGAACAAGACATTTGCCTCGATAATGGTTTGCGATATCGGTACTATGACAAAGAAACCAGTATATTCGTCGAAAAATACGATGTAAAGGATGAGATCTTAGACTCATTGACGTACCAACTACCAGCATCCTCTTCGTCGATGCAGCAGTTCCTCTTCCGCCCAAGCGGCGCCCCAAGTGGTCCGTCACCGAACGAGGTGATAGCAAGCCAGTCCGACTGTCCGGAGCACATATCCTTAGACGAATACAAGGCACTTTGTACCATTTCACTGGGCTATCGCATTCAGTGGCAAAATATCTTGCTACAGCTGTCGGCGCCGTCGGTTGATTTCAGAAAGGTGGAGACAGGTCTCATGGTCCTTCAATCGATCCATCAAGTCGGGCCTCGCGAAGACGGAGGTGTATTTAGAAGTGGTCACGCGGTCGTGGCCGATCAGACTTTTGCCACGGCTCTATTGCGGAGCCTCGATGAGAGCTTCCAACGATTCCGGGGAAACTGGGAGTCATTCCAAGCAGTTAGCACATTCATCTCCGTGGCTGCACGACTGCTGTTTCTGATCACGACAGAGGACATCCAGTTCCGGTGCTTGGCCTATCTGCGTGAGATCCAAGCAGGAACATTCAACTGGGTCGATCGTCTCACAGACAAGGCGTACCGAGCCAGCAACGACTTGCACCGAGCGGAACTACTTGCCCATGCCCGTAAGCTCGCTCTGGTCTGTGCCGGCACTTTCAATGTGGACGACAGCTTTCTGGATGATGTATTGGCCTCTCCGGAAGATGGATCGGTCTTTATCCAATGCTGCATTCTCATTCATAACATGACTCCTCCTGCCATGGAAGCTTCTGACCCCTTGACCCCAATTCTGTATCATCGGTGGAAATCGCTCTGCTATCGAAGCTATCCCGTTTTGGCCAACCAAATTGTTAACGTCCAACGTCGATGCCTAGATGATGCCATGGGGAAGACATGGTCTGCATATGTCGCAGGGGGTTGCTGGCGAACTGTATCTGACGAGTTCGATTACTGGCTGGTCAATGCACTCCCCCTCGAATGCGGGCAAAAGCCGATGGTGGTCCATTACAATCTTTTGACCGGCGAGCTTTTAGTCGACGGACTTCCTCTGGCTCGTCTCCCTCCCAACTACCGCAAGCATGTGACCTATCGCACTCTGTTTGGCCAGTCCGATCTTGAAGTCATGCCGACCACTGTCACTGGCCTACAATTCTCTGGCAAGAGAGATCATGCCGGATATACCATTCACCTCGGTATCAGGGCCATAACCGATGAACTCAACCTCGCCAGCTCTGACCTCTTGGTTCAAGCAGTGAAAGATGGCGAAACATACGAGCTTGTCCCGTCTCGCGTTTTGCAAGGGGAGCTCCCCCTGTACTTCACCGAAAGTTTTGTTCATTGGTACAATACGAGGGACGACACTGTGGAATTTCGTCCGGTCGACGACCCGTGGACCGCATCTCCAGACCACTGGAAGTTGGTCAGAGATCGGGGCCATGATAAATGGCGCATGGTGAAGGGCGGATCGTCTTTGATCAGCGTCAAGAGTGAGACCTGGAAAGCAATTGGCGAGATACTCGCTCCTCTTGAAGAACTCCTCCATTTGCACGGCGTCCTACAACACTCATCGTCGACACTAGAGGTCGGGCTTCCCAGACTCATGCTGTCGTTCTTCCTCAAGTCACGAACGTCGCAGCTGCGATCCAAACAGTTTCGCGGGCTTACTATTGATCCAGATCAGTCGCTGGGCACACTGGTTGGCCTTCAAAGCAAACTCATGCTTCAAGACCATGCGACTGGACGTCAATTACTGATAGTGCCCGGGGGCCATGCATCATTCCAAAAGCGTTGCGACCATGTGCACGTCACCATCAAATACGATGGCACCAATACCACAATAAAAGCCCATGCCTATCCGATAGACGCGCAACTTGGAAGGTTGCTAGATAATGGAACTCTGCAAAGCAAATTATGGCTATGCTACCTTCACGCTCTCACGTCCTTCTGCCTGCCCGATCCCTTCATGCAGAGAACGGGAACCGAGCAGGCGCTCACCATCCTCAACTCTGTTGCGGTCAGATCCTTCGATCGGCTTTCCCAAGAGACTATCGAACTTCTCCACCACATTGCCCGACTGACCGCAGGCAGACGCTATTATCCGGCCAATGAACGAGTGATGCAGGAAGTGGAATGGACACCTGAGCTGGGGTTTCTAGCTCAGCATGGTGGTTTCTTCAACAGTGTCCAGTTTATTTTTGGCCAGGCTGAGAGAGACGGTGTATTTTACCCAGGGCAGTATGAGAAGCCGCCACGTCTGGCCCATGTTGAACCAGACCTGTTGCACCGTGATAGCATGCGCTCGTCCATCTTTCGCGTCGCTGGCTTTGGGGCAGAAGACCACACCATCGAGTGGGATGCGGTGTATTCGGGCAGGGATCGGGATCAAGAGTCGACACAGGGGTTCAAGGCCTTCGTCACGTCAGACTTTGTGTTCCATGAACGCCCAACGATCCACTATCCAGTTCCACCAGGTTGCCGCGCTCGACTCTGGCATTTCTTTGCACTAAAGCACCCGGTACTTGGTCCCGAAGCCCCAATACCGCCCTCCGAGTTGAAGTACGACGCTGTATTGCTCCAAGGCTGGGATAACTTTGTCGCCAAACACTGGTGTGCCCTTCATCGAATATTGACGGGCGCACAACCCCGTTTCGACAAATTTCGCCTGATGATCTGGCTCTCTACCCTGGCCTTTGCCAAAGACAGCAACACCGAAGTCGTTCAAACTCTCGCGTCATTATTTGTGTTACCCAGTATGGCACAGATTTCTCCACCCGCTATCGCTTCCTTCCAGCTATCAGAAGGGGTGGCATTTTGCAAGGGCAGTTTAAAGCCTGCTCTCAACCCGGCGCATCTCCCATTTACCCAATGTCCCGAGTGGAAAGTCGTTCGTGATTCCAATGCATCTGAGTCATCGGAGCTAGGTCGGCACCAACATCGCCAATTCCAGATAAGCCAGAACCGTTCACTCAATCAATTCATACAAGCATTGGAAACGCAGTGGCCTTGCGAAGTCCCCAACTCACCCAATGTGGCCGAGTCTCACATCTACATCGATACAGGGAAGGCCATGGAGCTCGCCCGGCCGAAATTCATCACTTGGTACAACAACCGCCGTTTCAACCAATACCTCCATGAAGTCGGAGATGCGCTCCAGGGCGTGATGGTTGCCTCGGTAGAGGCGCCATCGTCGCATTCCACGTATCCAGGAAGGGCTCGCGCCAGAGCACGACCCTTCGTCTCGATTGATGATCTCTTCACCGGTTTCTCCCCCTCAATTGCTTCCTACAAGTCTGATTTCATGACAGATGACCTGCTGACGTGCACCAACACCAGCAATACAACTCCTCGACTTGCTTCGCTGGTCAACGATCTCGAGTCCCGAGTCAGCTCTAGTTTCGAAAATGGCTACGTGGAGGATCTGCGGCGGAGCCTTCTCTCCTTGCGAGGTCGGGATAAGCAGTATGAAGTGTCGTTGCACGGGAAACACCTCAAGGATATACTCGGTAATAATCTGGACAGATGCAAGGACCGCGTCCAGCAAATTTATGCCACCATATGGTCAGCTATAACCCACGTTGACAATGATACAGGAGAGCAAACATTTGAGCAACTACGTCGGAAAGAGAAAATGGCGGTAGCAGATAGCACTGGGCAGCGGCCCAGAGTGTGCCCAATCTTCCTCCTCCAGCAACTCAGTCGCCATCGATGGCCCAAGGTCCCAGAAAATTGGAGGCGCTGTTTGGTCCGGTATGCGCTCGCCCTTACGGAGGTCTAACGAGCGGAGCGCTTGGTGAGACTATCTGACAGCCGGGTGGATCTGATCAAGGAGTTGCGCAACCCTGGGCACACGAATTGGGATCCTGCTGAATACCCCGAATCCCTCCTGCTGGAAGTTGAGAGTGGCTTCATGATTCGAGATGTCCAGGAAGATGTCGCTCGTCAGATGAGGAACGCCGCCGAGAATGCTACCATGCAGTTGAACATGGGCGAAGGAAAGTCGTCGGTGATCGTCCCCATCGTGGCCGCTGCTCTCGCGGACGGCTCTCGGTTGCTCCGGCTTCTCACGACCAAGCCTCAGGCTAAACAGATGGCTCAGATGCTCGTCTCCAAACTGGGAGGCCTGTTGGACCGGCGAGTCTATCACATGCCATTCTCCCGGTCCCTACGCCTTCAAGTAGCCGATGCCGTCATGATCGGCCAGATGTGTCGCGAGTGCATGGTGAATGGACACGTGCTCCTGGTCCAGCCCGAACATGTTCTGTCACTGAGGCTGATGGGTTTGGAATGCCTCGTCACCGGCAAGGACGCCATCGGGCGTTCTCTACTTCTCACTCAAGAATTCTTCAACACTTCGAGCCAGGATATTGTGGACGAGAGTGACGAGAGCTTTAGCGTCAAGTTCGAACTGGTCTACACCATGGGCATGCAGCGACCTATTGAGTTCAGCCCGCGACGGTGGACGTGTATCCAAGACGTATTGGACAGAGTGAAGGAGTACGCGCCGGAGGTGGCGAGCGAATTTCCTTCTGCCATGGAGGTTTATGAAGGCTCACCCGGAAGCTTCCCTCGAACACGGATTCTCGACAACAGTGGACAGCGGCGGCTTTTCACCCATGTTGCGACATGGATCTGCGAGAATGGCCTCTACGGCTTTCCGATTGCCAGTCAGCCGGAGCCCGTCAGACAGGCGGTTCTTCGGTACCTCACTGACTCTACATTGTCTGCGGACCGAATTGCCCAGCTCGAAAGCCAGTTGCAGGGCGGGTTTTGGATCAATTCCACAAGTCAAATACTCTTCCTTCTCCGTGGACTCCTGGCGGGGGGGATCCTGCCTTTCGTGTTTCGACAAAAGCGGTATCGTGTGCAGTATGGCCTTGACGGGAGCAGGCGACCTCGCACGAAACTCGCAGTACCTTACCGTGCCAAAGACAGCCCAACCTTGCGATCAGAATTCAGCCATCCTGACGTCGTCATCGCTCTCACGTGTCTCAGTCACTACTACGGCGGCCTCGAAGACGACGACCTGTTCCTTACCTTCGACCACCTGTTCAGATCCGATCAAGCCGATGCGGAATACCAGGAGTGGGTGAAAGATGCTCCCTATTTGGCCGAGAGTTTTCGTCACTTGAGTGGCATCAATCTCAAGGACCGCAGCCAATGTACTAAGCAAGTCTTCCCGCCGCTCCGCCATTCCAAGAAGACCATCGATTATTTCTTGACACACCTCGTCTTCCCGAAAGAAATGCGAGAGTTCCCCCACAAGTTGTCCGCCTCCGGATGGGACATTGGCCAGATCAAAACGTATCCGACGAGTGGCTTCAGTGGTACTAATGACTCTAGGATAACCTTGCCTCTCAGTGTCACGCCCCTCGATCTCCAAGAACAACAGCACACCAATGCATTAGTTTTGGAGCACCTGCTCCGACCCGAAAACTCCATCTTGCACATTCCAGCCCAAGCAGAGGTCTGGTCAGCCACGGAACGTCTCTTGGACATGGTCACTGAAATGGACCCTCCGCCGCAAGTGATCCTGGATGTTGGGGCCCAGATCCTAGACCTCAGCAACTTGGAGGTTGCAAGGGGGTGGCTGAAGAGGAAGCAGGGCCATAAGCAGAGCCAGGCTGTGGTTTTCTTCGACGAGGACGATGACCTCTCCGTCCTCGACTGCAACGGACGAATCGAACGCCTTCAGACCTCGCCCTTCGCCGACCAGCTTGACGTATGTCTGGTCTATTTGGATGAGTCCCACACTAGGGGAACCGATCTGAGACTGCCAGAGTATTACAAGGCGGCCGTAACTCTAGGGGCTAATTTGACCAAGGACAGATTGATTCAAGGTGAGTTTGCGGCGCCGCCATCATGCTCTGTACTGACCTGTCTGAAGCATGTATGAGGATGAGAAAATTAGGCCACGGACAGTCAGTCGTCTTCTGTGTTTCAGACGAAATCAAAACACAACTTCTGTCGAGTAAGAAGGCCTCGGGCGATACGGGCATCAGCGTGTCAGACGTTCTCTGCTGGGCCATCACGGAAACTTGGTCCGACATTGGACGAAGCATGCCTCTATGGACTGTGCAGGGACGACGCTTTGAGCACCAACAAGAACTTTGGGCCGAGGCTCGTATCGAGGGGGGTTTGAGCTTGACCCAATCCCACGCCGAAAAATTCCTCGAGGATGAATCCCAAATCTTGAAAGACAGATATCAACCCCGTACTGTCATCCGTGCCACATCCTCGACGCCGACCGAGCCCAATGTGAACTTACGACGCATTACAAATCGGTCATTGCAATTCAACTGTCAGGAGCACGATGTCGCCTCATTCCAAGAGGAACAAGAGCGTGAGTTGTCACCCGAGGTAGTGCAGGAACGCGAGGTGCAGAGACCGCCGCGAACCCAGCCCGTGCAACCTTACATTCACCCAGATTTAACGGCGTTCGTGAAGGATGGAATAATCTCGGCCGGTTCAAAAGCCTTCAAACCTGCTTTTGAGACGTTGCGTCAGACTAGCGCAGCTACACATACGGATGTGTCGCAGTTTCCAGGGGACGTCCTCGTGACAGGCGACTATGCCAGCACAGTTCAAGATACTGGCCGATGCTCTCTCCTCGATGCTTATCAGCGACAAGTGCAGTGGATTCTGACAAGCATGGGAACTGGCAGTGACAATGTCGTCAAGCATCTCGTCATCATCAGCCCATATGAAGCACAGATGCTCCAGACAGACATAAGAAACTCCAAGAAAGTGATGCTGCATCTCTATACCCCACGACCCAATCTCGGTATTCGCCCACTGGATGGGTTGGACTTGTACGTCGTTTCGGCGGTGCGGGAATTGCCGATCCTCCCGCCTCACCATGTCACTCAGCTGAATTTGTTTGCCGGGCAGCTCTATTTCAAGTCTTTTACGGAATATGTCGAGGTTTGCACCACACTGGGGCTGGCGTGGCAGAAGGCAGACGACGGATGCACTATCGCCGCCGATGTGTTCATGATACGAGACCGGAGTGGCCAGACACGGCGCGCATCCAGCTTCCGTGAGAGTCCGGTGCCATTCCTTCGAGTGCTGATGACCCAAATTCGGCGAAACTGCAAGGAGATAGACAAGACTCACATGGGGGCGGTGTTGGGTGGTCGACTGCTTGGTCCATCTGATTTTGAGGACGAAAGTAGTAAGGATGAAGGTAGTGAGGATGAAAGTAGGAAACCAGCGCCTGAGTCTGAATCTGAGTCTGAGTCTGGGTTGAAGTATGAATCTGAGTCTGAATCTGAATCTAAGCCTGAATCGGACTTTCTAAGTGTGAATCGGAGTCTAAGTCTGAGCCTGAGTCGAAGTCTACATGGCAGCGAAGAGATAGATGAACTTCCACAGATGTCGAACTTCTCCTCCAAGAGGCGCTGATAGAAAGTAAAATAGTTAGTTTCTCTTTGAGCAATGCAGGATCTAGATACCAGGTATACCCTAGCCTAGCCTAGAACTGGATTTCCGTTATCCTCGTGACATCGACCATCCCACGCCTGCACTTCTTGTGGTATATCCTATTCGCTAAATAGGCTACTTACTCGTAAGTAGTAAGTTATTAGGGTAGGGAAGAGATCGATAAAATTCTATATATATCGAACTTGAACTTCTTATTACCTAAGAGGCGCTAGTAGAAAAAACATAAATAGTTAGTTCCTCTTTAAGCAATGTAGGATCTGGCTACCAGGTATACCCTACCCTAGCCTGGCCTGGAACTAGGTAGGCATTCCGTCATCCTCGTGACGTCCTCGTAACGTCGACTTATCTCCTACCCTATACTTCTTGTGGTATATCCTTTTCGCCATGTGGGCTACTTACTTACTCATGAGTAGTACTTGCTCGTGAGTTATGAGTAGTAGGTCGTAGGTTGGCAGGCAGCGTAGTAAATAGGTTGGCAGGTAGCGTAGTAGGTTGGCAGAGGAGTAGATTGACAGGCAGAGTACTAAAGTAGGTTGGTTGGCAGGCAGAGTAGGTTGGTAGGCACAGTAGTAGGCTGGCAGGCAGAGTAGTAGGCTGGTAGGCAGAGTAGTGGCCTGGCAGGTTGGCAGGCAGTGTAGTAAGTACCTAAGGTTGGAATTATGCCATAATCTCACAGGTGAGAATAAGGATATTATACATAGATAAAAGCTTTGCAAGGCTGTCCGCCACCAGGGGCTCAGGGGTTAAGGCCCAAGCCCGTAAAGTACTCCCGTACAAAGTACAAAGTACAAAGTACTCCATACCCGTATATTAAAACAAGAAATAATACTGTAACGTACGACTACTGTACTAGGTGCTCCGTACAGTACTAAAATACTCCCTACCATATCCATGATGCGCATTTAGATCGAACAAACACAACACAAACTACAGAACAGAACAGAAACAGAAACAGAACAGAACAGAAACAGAAACAGAACAGAACAGAACAGACACACCAGTCGCGGTCCCGCACTGCGGTAGGATACTCAAAGTACTTACTCCGTACATACACATGTCCAATCTAGCTTGTCTTGAATACATTTCATTTCACCTAATCACTCCTTCCTACCCCTACTCCCTACTCGCCGTTCTCCTATTCATCATCATCCTCCTCCTCCTCCTCCTCCTCATCTTCATCCATTCCCTCGGCAACATCGACCGAAAAAGCCATGCTCTGATCGACACCGACGTACGCGTCGCACATCAGGTACAGCGTGAGATCCTTCTTGCCGGCCGTCGGGACGATGTATTCCAACTTGGTGGCTAGACTCTTGCCGACCGTGACGCGTTTGATGGCGAGTACAGACTTGGTCTTCTCCTCGGCCACCACCAGCCACCAGTTCTCCAGCTTGCGGCCCGGGTAGAAGGGCGCGTGGACGGTGAGATCGACTTCGTCGTCGTCGTCGTCCACATCGCGTGTGACGCGGATCTGCAGATATGATGGCTGTCCCGCGGTGACGGCGTCCTTGTCCAGGGCTTCAAACTCAAGTTCCAGACTGGGGTACTTGTTGTTGGTGAAGTTGGCGGCCTCGACGAGCTGGCGGTTCGTCAGGCCTATTGCCGCCACCAGTTTCGGCTGGTCCGGGTTCTCACTGGGGTCCATGGCGCTCATGAAATCGTCAATGTCCTTGATGCCGGATTTGCCCAGAATCTCCACAATCTTGTTGTCAAAGTGTGGGATCTGCAGCAGCGGGCTGTCACGATCCCACATGGCTTGCACCACCATCTGCGACAGTTCCATGGCGTTGATGGCGTTCAGGTGTCCTTCGGAGCTCAGAACGTCGACACACGCAGACAGCAGACTGAGCACCTTGCCCAGAATCACTTCTTGGTCCTTGGCCAGATCGATCGTGAGTTGCATGCGGGAGAAATGCGCCTGGAGAAGCACCAACGCCTTGAAATGCGGAGAGTCGTACGCCGGCTCGGACATCTTGACAGGGACACGGTCGTAGATTCGGCGCAGGATGTGATCTTCGTGTCGCCGCATCTGAATATCTTCGAACTCGGTGGCCGACGTCACGATCTCGAGCAGCCCTTTGAGCTTCGTCCGGCCAGTCAGCGAGAGTAGGAAGGTCTGCATGGTGATGAAGGAGATGTTGTAGTACGCCGCAATCATGGCAGGGTTCAGGGGAGAGATGGAGTCGTCTTCCTCGTCCACATCAATGATCTTGGCTTCTGCAAGCTCTTTCAGCGTATTCTCCACCAGCTCCGAGAGGAATGTGCTGAGACCCTCGTGGGACGTGTCGTTCAGGCCGTAGAAGCTGGGATTCGCCAGCAGCCGACGGTAGAAGTATGTGTACGTGGTCCAGTCCACTGCGTCTTGCGTGGAAGTGATGGTCTTGGTGCTGATCTCGGTCACAAACGCATCGTGAAGCCATAGTTGCAAGTGGCTTTCGACGGGCAGGGCCTCGTTGAGGAATTTTTTGTAGTATTCCCGTTTGACGGCAGGGACCATGAGCACCCCTTTCCCGATCTTGTCCTCGCCTGGCCGAGTAGCTCTCCCAAACATCTGCAGCACTTCGCTGATCTGATAGTCCACATAGCGGTGTTCTCGGCCCAGGAAATACTGCGTGCCCATGACGACCACCAAGTGTGCGGTCACAGGCAACTCCCAGCAGACATCTCGAGAAGCGAGCATGACTTGGATCGCACCAATCTTGAACAGATGGGCTACGATCTTCTTGTCGGTACTTGTCAAAGCTTCGTGGTAGTAGCCGATGCCGTGAGTCAAGGATTCTGCCAGTGCGCGCTCGTTGATGCGTTCCAAGAACGGCGCAAGCTCCTCCACGTTGGTGTGGAGGAACCGTTCATCATCGTCATCCATAATGCAGGCCTGGAGGAGGTCAACGGCGGTCGAGCGCACTTGTTTCCTGTTGGGCACGAAAACAATGGCCGGCTTATCCGGCGACAACTGCAAGACGGCTTGATATGCTGGTCGAGCCATCGCCACCATCAAGGAGGGGAAGTGGGGGATACTGAAAGACTGGATATGCAATTCCAGTCCAACCGGCCGTGCCATCGGACTGAAGTTATAGATCGTGTGCTTGTTGGCCCCGAGCCATTCACCCACGTCGCGGGCGTTGGACAGCGGCACGCTGAGCCCAACAAGGCGCATGTTGTTCTCCAGTTGAACGTGGATATATTGCATCCTCGAGACCACCACCTCATACACCGCTCCGTTCTCACCACCGAGCATCTGAAGCTCGTCCGCGATGAACAATTCAACGTTTTGCACGTTCTTTCGCCGCTGCCATTGCCGTGACAGAACATCCCATTGGGTGGGGGTCGCCAGGACCAAGTCTGACTTGTCCAGGATTCGGAGATCAGCTGTTAATTCACCGGTCAGAGTGGATATAGTCTTGCCACCACCAAGGGGAGCCAGGCGCTGTTGCCAGTCAGCGAGACGACTGTCAACCAGTTCTTGGAAGGGTGCGATATAAACCGCTTTGCCGGCTTCGGGGTTTTTCCAGTGTCGCAACAGGGCAAACTCGGCACAGACTGTCTTTCCGCTTCCCGTGGGCGCCCCGACAAACACGCTGTCGTTGCTGTCGTACAGCGACTTAAACACCTGTGTTTGGATCTTGTTGAACCGGTCCCAACTCGAGTAAAGGTCAACGTATTCTTTGATCTTTAACGCCTGCACGGGGACAGGTTGTAGATCCAATAGTTGAGTGTGGGGTGGGAAGCGTTCCGGGAGGGTCAGTTTCTGGAAGGAGACCGGAATCCTGGTCTCTGAATGCATCCAGCGATCGGACACCAACGAGATGAAGTAGTTGGGCGGGACTGGTTCGCTGATGGGGACGGTGAAGTCGACCAAGTGTTCGGTCATGTCACCGACAGCATATTCGCGTCGTAGGATGAATTGATCGTGAAACAACAGCTCCTCGCCGTCACAATCCTCGACGATAATCCAGAAAGATTCCGCCCCTCCATGCAGGGCGTCATCCCACACAAAATTGGGGGTGATGGTGAGCTCTACATGGAGCAGGGATCGTGTAATCGGCTGAACCTGGGCTTGAACCTCTAGCCGAGGGAACTTCGACACCAGGTCGCAGATGACGCGGCCAGCTTTTGGTAGGCCCAGGAGCTCACCCATTCGGGGCGGATCCAGATCGAAGTAGCTAGACCAGGGGACCTCCATCCTTTCAGCCTTCTGGATGAAGTCTCGCGGGCACGTCGGAAACTGCCTCAGAGGAGTCATCGTTGGCCACATTCGCTTCTCAGCCATTTTGCAAAGATCAAGAGCAATCTTTGCAACAGAAGCCCAGCCCTTCTTCAAACAAATCTCAAAGATGGCTCTCAAGATTCGTCCCGCTGACTGTGTGACATAGACAAGATCCGCCATCAATGCCAGACCGTCCAACTTGAGCCGAGAAATAAAGGCCTGTAGAAGTACGTTGATCTTGGCTTGTGGCTCCTCCATGCCTTCTTTGACTGGGATTGGAACTCTACCCAATAGTTTGGCAAGCTCCAATTTCTCATCCTGTCGAACGGGGATATACTTGAACTCGTCGCTGAGGGCGAAGATCCGGAAAAGTTCAATGGTGCTGATCGACGGCTGGAGATGATGGTTGTAGGTTGACATGGAGTTGTGCGTGATGTAGTAGTGCGAGGCGATACGGCCAAGGTCCGTGGCCTGCAGTTTACCAGTCTTCTTGTCATACTTCACCAGTCCAGCCTTCTCGAGAACAAAGGCGGCTGAATGAATGAGGTCCACTCGTTTCTGTTCCAAGTTCTCGTCGTTGCTGTAGTCCGCTCCGACGCTGTAAAGGCCTGGTGATCGAATCATGCGGACAAACAGATATGTGTAACCGAGCCATTCGACACCTTCATCTCGGCTCCGAATATTGCCCAGCACGATCTCCGCATTGAGATTGTCTGCAAGTTTACCCATCAGTTGACTCTCAATGGGTAATTGCTGGTTCATCAACGACAGATAGTACTGTATTTCGGACTGAGAGGTTATTATGATGCCTTCACCATAAGAATCGAACTGCGGCCGGCCAGCCCGTCCCAGCATTTGGAGCACGTCTTGAGGGCTGAGCTCCACCCAGCTCCCTTTTTCAGGAGAGTACACTTGAGTCCCCTTGATCACGACGGTATGAGCAGGCAGATTGACGCCCCATGCCAGCGTTGCCGTACAGACAAGGACTCGCAAAAACCCATCGGCGAAGAGATCCTGGACAGATGTACGGTCGGCAACACCCATTCCCGCATGATGGATACCAAAACCATAGGGCAATATATCCTTCAAGTTGGCATCGTGCACCGCATCGGCTTCTTCTTGCAAAACGGACCGGCTTGCTGCGTCTGTTCTCATGATTTGGCCGATTGTCTCCAATTCCACCGCTTTATCCCGGATGTATTTGGCGGTTTTGGCGGTTTCTTTCCGCGAGTGGACGAAGATCAACATTTGCTGCTGATTCGTCCCCACATGCTCAATGACCTTGGCATAACAGACGTCGTTCATAGTCTTCAACATCTTGATGGCTTTTTTCTCGGTGACACCAATGAACTCCTGGCGGAGAGGGCAGGGTCTATATGACCCATCAAAGTGGAAGAGACCCTTTTCAGGATCAACTCGAAGGAAAGTGGCGACATCCCGGTAATTGGGAAGCGTCGCGCTCAATCCAATGATTCTGACAGGATCACCCGTCTGTTCGATCTTTCGAATGGTTCGACTGACGATGCTCTCTAGGACCGGCCCTCGATCATCGTGCAGAAGGTGAATTTCGTCAATGATGATTAAACGGACCAATCTCGTATAGCTCGTATCAGTGGCCTTCCGCGTGATGACATCCCACTTCTCTGGAGTGGTGACAATGACTTGAGTGTCGGCGATTTGCTGTTTGGTAAGCTGACGGTCGCCAGTGAGCTCGGAAACTCGAATCCCGTATTTCTCAAGACGTTTTCCAAAGTTTCCCACTTGCTCCTGGACCAAAGCCTTCAAAGGGGCAATGTAGACGATTTTGAAATCGTCCAGCATTATCTCCCCAGTCTCCGGGTTTCGGTGTTTCCCAATCTCACGAAGCATGGTCAGCATGGCGACGTTTGTTTTGCCGGAGCCTGTCGGGGCACAAATGAGCATGTTTCCATCGTCATGGAAGGCAGACGGATAGCATTTGGACTGTATCCGATTCAGCTCCTTTGCAGAACCGAACCCTTGCCTCGCCCAATCAGGAAGATCCGAGGTTGGAATATTCTTCTCGCCTGGATCCCGTTTTGCTTTCGGTGCTGGCACATGGACTTCTTCATATCCTTTAAACGTTCGCTTGGTCGAGCCTGGAGGGAGCACCACTTTCGGATTAGTCATGAGATGATTTCCTTGTTCGAACACGAGGTTGTCGAGATTAATCAGGCGTTGAGGCTGCAGTCCGCCTGCGAGGACTCCGTCTTTCTTTTCGTTATGCTCGTCTTCCTGGGCCTTGGGCACGTCGATGTCCATCAGATCGAGCTTCATCTTTTTGGCAGGTCTCGGGCCTTCTGAGCTTTGATCCAACTTCCCAAGTAATTCGTCGAGAATGCTCCGGTGGCCTGCTTCGACCATTTCGCTCTCGATCAGATTTCGGGCGTCATCGTCCTCTGCTACCCTGCGCCACCTAGTCGCCCAGACAATCCTCTCTCGGTTGAAAACAAGTTTGCTCACCAACTCAGGGTGCTCGTAGTCGAACAAGTCCATCAAGTCGTTCTCAATGTCACGGAGTGACAAATCTTCACCGTCAGTTGACTTTCCAGACAAAATCCGCAATGCATCTTGAGTCTTTTGCTGCTGGATATGCGCATCTGAGTAGACAGACCCGATTTGACGCTGCAGCCAATAAGCATCGATCTCGTGGATGGGAATCGAATCGCCATCCTCTCGTTTCCGTCGACTGGAGTCACTAATACCGGCGTCCAGCACCATTTCATTTTCGATGTCTTCATCGGGGTCAACATCTGGAACCCCTGCGCCGCCAGCAGTGGCGGTCTCCTCTAGACCTGGTTGGTCTTGGATATCGGCTTCCTCGTCTGAAGAGCCTTCATCTTCATCTCGGACTTCATACGTTCTGCGAACGCCATCTTCATCCTCATCTGATTCATCAAAGACGACCGCAACACCTTGTCGCTCGTCAAGCTCGGCCTCGTTTGCATTGTCATCTTCCATGTTCTCGTCGTCGTCTTGTGCGTCGTAGTCTGTAATCTTTTTGCCCAGATTGACCAATTCGTTGAACTCCTTCGGAGTCATCGTAGTCCCAACAATGTCATCGATTTCTTTTTTCTTGTCAAGGTCTTTGAGATTTTCATCTTTCAGGTATTCGAGGATTGCATCAGCAGCGCTGCGGACAACTTCCTGTGGAACATCACCCAAAGCGCTTGCGGTCACGGTAAGCAGTAGATCGTACGTTGCTCGTGTAGCTGGGGTCCTTGGCCGATACTTGAGCCCTTCAATCAATGCGTCACCGGCGGATAGGACACCAGTTCCGCGAGTTTGAGCAGGCTCGCCCCTCCTTCGCTTCTTCCGTTCTCGTTCTAGAACATCTTCTCCTTCACGTATCGAGCCTCTTTCAACTCCCTGTAATCCCGTTGCTGTCTTTTTCTGCTTCGGTGCCTCTTCACGGTTAATCCGCGAACCCATATCTCGAATATTGAGCCGTCCGGCCAGAGACTCGGGGTCACCGGTGTTTTCGTCCTTCGCTCGCGAAACGAAGCGCCGGTCCACCTGGAGAACCAGGTTGGACATGGCCGAGTAGCTGTACTGCGAGACATTGTTGGGGTCTGCCATTTTGACGGCACAATGTTAAGCGGGAACCAGCGACGGAGGACGGGGTGTGGCGCCTCTGAATGGCGAGGAAGTAAATTGAACCTTCGCAATGGTAGCTAGTGCAACATGATCCTATGCCTGAGAAACACGGCTACGTTCGCCAGTTAGGTACCAGTAGGTAGATATTCTGGCCCTATGTCGGTCTTTGCGGCGTAACCTGCGGCTCAAGAAAACTTCCAGACGATGATCTCCAACGCAGGCTTGGCACATACCCGGCCTCGGGTAACTTTCTATTTCGTGACGAGGCTGTCGCGAACCCTCAGCCTTGCTCATCCATGTTGCTGTCCCGTCCTAGACGTTGGTTGTTGGAGCCACTCTGTGCCATGGTTGTATTCCGTTTGACCAGCTCCCCAGATATTATACAGTGTCTTCATCATTAGGCTACTGTAACCAGCATTGTCAGCCTTGTCCACGGCGGACCTGGTGAACTGCTGTAGTGCGCCACCTGGCCGGCCGTACCCCTGAGCATAAGATCTACGGTGAAGCACTGATTGTCGCCTTGCCGTGAGCATACGTACTGCCTCCAATCCATCTCGGTTCTCCATGCTTGAAGACTCCCATACTTTCCCTACCCGTCTCTCTGTTACACCTCTCTGGACGAGCGGCAATTGTCACACCGTGTTCCCATGTTTCCCCCTTTGCCCACTGGCTGCAAAAACTCTGACTACTTTATTCTCTACTGAAAGCGTTCCCGCAGGCCTCCAAATACTGGCCACCTCCTATCCCACTCAACTCTGACCTAGTGTAACCATCGTCCTCCTCCTGACCGCGCGGCCACGACCTCACCGCCGTGGAAGGGCGTCAATCATGGCGCAAACCCTTTTGGACATATTCTACTCTCTATCCAATTGCATATGCTGTTTTCCGGGTACACCGCAATTGAAAATCAACAACAGAAGCTTTCGCATGCTGCGACTGCTTGGCGAGGTGAGTGGGTGCTTGAGTATTGTCTACCACTGGACAATTCCCAAGCTCAGGTTATGAATGCTTTCTTCGGACCAAGTACGCAGAACTGATGCGTGGAACTACGACAGGGCGGCTTCTCCTATGTCTACCTAGTCCAAGACACCTCCGACTCGGCACTGTACGCGCTCAAGAAGATCCGGTGTCCATTCGGGCAAGAGTCGGTGTCGCAAGCGTTGAAGGAAGTGGAAGCATATACTCTCTTCGCTCCACACCCCAACATCATCCGCAGTATTGACCATGCGGTCCAGAACGACTCGACCACCAAAGTCTCTGGCATAGGGAACGATACGTCCGGGTCGGCCAGCAAGACCGTCTACATCCTTTTACCGTATTACCGGCGAGGCAATCTCCAGGACATGATCAACGCGAACTTGGTCAATCACACCCGCTTCGGTGAACGAAGACTGATGCAGCTAATTCTGGGCGTCTGCAAGGCCCTGAAAGCGATGCACCAGTACCGAGTGCGCAACACTCCCTCACGGTCCGCAGCCAAGGCCGTGCGGGATGAAGCAGCCAGCGAAGACCAAGATGCGGCGCGGAGGAAAATGCGAGCGCAGAAACGGACCATGACGGCCGACCAAACACATCAAGACGAACTGGCAGAGGAGCAGGAGGCGCCACTAATGCCGGACGACGAGGTGACACGAGCACAGGAAGGGAAACAGCCCGGAGAGACCCGGGCGTACGCCCATAGGGACATCAAGCCCGGGAACATCATGATCGACGACGATGGACGGACGCCCATCCTGATGGATCTGGGCAGTCTAGCCCCGAGCCCCACGCCCATCACATCACGGTCCATGGCCATCGCCGTGCAGGACACGGCGGCCGAGCATTCCACCATGCCATACCGGGCGCCCGAGCTGTTCGACGTCAAGACCGGCAGTGTCATTGACACCAAAGTCGACATCTGGTCGCTCGGCTGTACCATGTACGCCTGCCTGGTGGGCAAGTCGCCGTTTGAAGCCCGCTCCGACGAGACCGGCGGCTCGCTGAGCATCTGCGTGCTGAGCGGCGACTGGCGCTGGCCCGGCGAAGGAAACGCCACCAAGGGCAAAGACAAAGCCCAGCCCGCCAACGGCAATGCCGGCCAAGCTGCGGCCTCGTCGGAGAGGATCTACCCGCACCCCGCGGCGCGAGAGGTAGTCAGACGCTGTCTACAAGTCGAACCGTCGGAGCGGCCTGACGTGGACGAGCTCATGACTCTGATCGATACGTGCCTGAGCGAATTGCCCGAGGACGACGACGAAGGCGTGCGTGGTGAAGGCGAGTGAGTGAGAGTGAGAGACGTCGTCTGACGATCAGATGGATATTAAACTAAACCATTTCTCTCGCCTTCCTTCTCACCCACTGGACTGGCAGGGGCCAGGCTTGGGCCGTATTATAATACTTCCATTCGGTAGCTGGGACTAGGGCGCTCGTGTCCCGCGGGACCTTGCTTCCTTCTTCCTTCTTTCCACCGTGTATTAAATCCAATCCATCTTTTCTTTTCTGTTCACCTTACTACCTTACTATCTTCTAAGAGGTGCGCGCACACAAGACACAAGAAAACAGCATCCCATTTGTCCTGTCGAGAATTTCTCTACTAAACAAGCCCAGGGCCCTGGGGGTTTGACGAGCATTCCACGCGTAGCGTAGCGGCATAGTCGACTGATCCGGCTCACCAATCCCAATCCAGGGCAGTCACAGTCAGTTCCAATCTTCAAGTCTCCGTCTCGCCCGCCAAACTTTGCAGTCCCCAACTGACCCCTAAGCCCCAACAACCAAGCCCACCCAGCCCCCGATTTCAAGCGTTTCGTAGCAGCAAGTCATCTCGTGCAATAGCAAAAGGAAATCTCGTGTGTGCTGGAAATACGGCTGCTTCGGCTCGTCGCTTTCCTCAGCCCTGTCTGTGCCTTCACCCTCGCTTTCGCCCTCGAGCTCCATGACCAGCCCAGCTCATCTCGCGCCGTTTTGAGAGTATAGAAGGATGCGATACCACTCATATTGACAGCCCTGCAACCTGCCCGTCCCAAGTACAATCATGACGTTGGCCCCCGACAAATAAGGCACACCAGCCCAAGATCTACTCGGTAGCCTTCACAGCATCGGTAGCCTCGGCAGCAGCCTCCGCCGACTCAGGTGCTTTTTCGACAGTTTCTGGGATAGTTGCTTCGGGTTTTGGAGGCTCCTCGGCAGACGTTGGCTTGGACTCCTCCAAGGCTGGCTTCTCTGGTGCAGCATCCGCCTCGCCAGTTTCCGCCGGCTTCTCTTCAGCCGTCTCGGCAGGCTTTTCGGCAGGAGCTGGCGCTTCGTCTTTCTTCTCCCCGGCAACATCCTCGGACTTTTCTTCATGCACGCCGTTTGTGGCGGGCGATGCCTTGCCCTCCTTGTCCGCACCCGCGTCTGCGTCGGCTGGCTCTGCACCTAGAATCTTATTCCACTGGCCCAAGAGCTCAATCGAACGCTTGCGGAACTGAAATTCTTCGTCTCGAGGAATGGTGTTGAGCTTAATCAGAGCTTTCAAAACCTTGTTGATCTTGGTATTGCGAATAATGCTGACTTCCAAGTCGGTGTAGGCTTCGAGTTTCTTGATGAATGTGGACATCTGTGGCATTTCTTCTCCTTGAGGTGCCTGGTCACGAGACAAGAAGCCCTTCTGCAGCTTGTGTCGGAGGAAGAGCACTAGACTGTATTAGCAGGGCCCTTCTTACATGATCTTTTCTTCCGCTCACCTTCTTTCTCGCGAGCTTTACGCGCCTCGACAGGGTCCAGAGGTTTCTCGTCAGGCTCAGGTTGAGCCGCATCGACCATTTCCTCGTCGCTCGTGGCAGCCTTTGATTTCCTCTTCTCCGATCTAGCCTTTGTCGCCTTCTCCTTTGGTTTCTTCTCCTCGGTCTTCGGAGTCTTGCTGGTGGTCAACTTGATCTTGGTCGTTTTGGGAGTTTTGGCAGGCTACGGCCCAAAATTAGACCATGTTGCTTGGAAAGGAATACAAAACACTTACCTTCTCAGATTCTTCGTCTTCACTGTCAGCCTCCTTCTTGCGCTTCTTGGAGGACTTCTTTGGTGCCGCTTCAGCATCTTCCATCTCGACGTCCTCAGTTTCAACCTTTGCTTCACTCTTGCGCTTCTTCTTGTCAACTTTGGCGGCTTTCTCAGCCTCACGGGCTTCTTTTGCCTCAATCTCGGCCTGCAATGCCGCGGCATGATCGTCAAGCATGGCCTTAAAGTACTCGAGATCATGGTTCTCGGCGGCAACTTGGTAGGCAGCCAGCAGTGACTTCGCCTTGCCCTTCTCCGCCACATCCTTGCAGTCGTCAGGGTTGAGTGGAGTGAGGTCGGTATTGTTGATCCAAGCACTAGGACTCGTCAGTGACAGTTGGTCAGAGTTGGTCGAACAAACTCACAATTCGTTGGTGTGCAGAAACATGACAGGGAAAGTGCGATCCGTGACCTTCTTGCCACCATCAGCATATGGTTCATTGTAGGTGCCGTCCGCCTTCTTGGTGGTGACAGGTCGGGTGTTGAGTAGAATGTCAGGAAGCATCTCTTCATCACAGATGATGGATGGCCATGGTGGGTAGCTCTTCAACCTGGCAAAGTAATATTCGCCTGGCTGTGCATGAAGATTGGTGATCTTGGGCGTAGATTTCTTCTTGTTCAACTTCTTGCCCTTGTGCTCGGGGACGCCAGCTGACGACTTTCTCCTTGATGAAGAGGATCTCTTATCCGCTGGGGTTCCGTTGGTCTCGGGTTGAGCGACATCTGCACCATCCACCTCCTTTGCCTCTGCGTCACTGGGGGCTGGAGGTGCGGGCTCGGACTGGGGGGCAGGCTCCGATGCTTCTTTGGGTGGCTCAGAAGTAGACTCGGCAGTTCCGTTTGCAGTAGCAGCTTCTGTGACAGAGTATCAGCAGGAGAAGATATAGAGTGGGCGACCTGGGACACATTACCGGCAGATTCAGCTTGCTTTGACTCAGTTGCGCTCTCGGCAGGGAGGGCTCCTGACATCTCGGCGACAACACCAGAAGCCGGTTCTGCCAACGTGGGTGGAGCATTATCCTCAGGCTGCGAAACCTTCACCGGCACTTCGGTTTGGGGAGCGGTAGCCTCGGCATCCATGATGGAGAGGTCTCAGGGGATGAAGCGACGCGTTGGCGTTGGTGAGGCGCACGAGAAATGATGAAGCGATCTATGAACCAAGCACGTTAGCTGTAGAGTCTTTGTCGCAAAGCTAGTAGACACAAGATCGACTTGTTTGCAGATTCCGGAAGGGCAGATCGGGTGTGCTCCGCAGCTGTTGAAAGTGACGCGCCAGCGAGAGTGCCCGAAGCCAGGGATCTGGGGCTGCCGACGGCGACAAACCAAGGGGGTGCACACACCAGCAGCCTCTCAATGAAAGGACAATGACTCGGATGAGCAGGCGATAGAGGCGCCGATGTGGGTAGACGGTGTCGCGATGTGATGAGGTGGAAGAACAGGCGACCGACACAATGATGGAGAGAGGAATTGATGAGAGCAGAGCAATTGAGTCGCAACTTCAACTGGGGCTCAGAAAAGCCCACTGTCTGGGCCGCTCAGCCAATCAGCTCTCGTAGACGGCCTGCTGCTCGCCAAGTGCGGTATGCACGTGACTGCGTGGGTGCGCAGTCTCATTCTCTCCGTCTCTCCGCAGTCTCCCGCAGCCTGCTAGCCTTTGCTTCTGACAATAACGTGCAATCGCATTGCTTTCTTGCCTCATTGGTCTTGCAGAAGGGTGGGAAGTGGAAAACCAGCATCGGCACTTACATATACACGTTTGCTATCTTCTGAACAGCCACAAGGAACCGACAACGGAGAACAAGAACACGATGCAGAGAACCCGTGCACTCCCGTTGGATCACAAGAGGTGGGCACTGGTGAACAACATCAACATCGACGTGCTGAGAGCAATCACAATCCCGACGGCAGTAGACCTTTGTTGACCGTGGTCTTTCCCGACAAGGACAGGGACTATACACAGATAAAAGCGACCTCCAGGCGTCTGCGACGAAATGGCCGAGGAGGTGTGATGGAGATCTTAGCCACGGCAGTCGATCACTGCGCTGCTGTCCTCACTGCAACATCGGCTTGTCACGGAGTTGAGTAGGTATTTCCGAGAGTCTGTCATCTGAAGAGTTGCATCCTCAATCATCCAGTGAATGGTAAATTTCCTAGATTCTTTGCGACGTATATCATAAGGAACGAGTCTATTCCGACATTCTTGAGTTAAATGCAGCATGGACTTGTCAAGTTCAAAGGTGAAAGAAGCCCTTTCTCGACGTCTACGACTTCAAAGAGCCAGGTTCGATTTGGTAATCTTAATGCTTCACCGTACGTCTTGGCAGATGTTGCGATGGTACTGCTTTCGGGGTATCGTTGCTGCTTTAAGCAACACCTTCCCGTGGGAGTTTCCAGCTTTGCGACAACGTCTCTTAGCACCGTATTTCGCCTCCAGGAGCGACCCTAGAGGTATCTCCTGGAGCTAGCCGCCTGCAGCCCCTCAAGGGCTGCCGGAAGAACCACGACAGAATGTATAGGCCACATTGGCCCAAAAGATACTATAGGAAGTTCTTAGCTAGACACAATAAAACAACACATTTGCAGTCTCGTAGCACCGTAAATGCCATGATATTAAGATTACTATATGCTTCTATGCATTCTATGCAATATAACCAAGAAACGAGGTAGACTCGATTTGCCATCGCACATGAAGGTCATGAGGCTGTTTCGTTCTCGGAATGGTTGCATGGCCCACGACACGCCATGCCCTCGAATAGGCGTAGTCACTATCATGCTAGTGGTGCTGGCTCGGCCAGCAACGCACCAAGGGTAGGCCTCCGCAAAGTAAGTGTTGCGTAGGACAAGCCTTGCGGACAGTGCATCGATCCTGTTTCGACGGCCGACTGCCAGTTGGAGTGGGTACGATCCAAAGAGGCAGATGAGTAGGACAGTTGCGGTGGGTGGCCAGTCAAAGGCATGGATGTGACCAGCGGCATCCCGACGTTTCGGTATCCATGGCAAGTCTTTGGCCAACCGCCCGTCTTGACGATTGTAACTCTGCCCTCGGAAGGGAGGCCTTGTCCAGGGACTTGCCCACCCAGATCGGGAAGATTGCACACCTATGCCTCAAGCGCTCATTTGTTGACGACTACCGGCCGTTCGGGATTCCAGCCATCAATCTTTCCCTTCTTCAAACTTACGGCGAATGCCCTTTCAGCTTCCACAGGCATCTGCACAGGCTTGTGCATCCGTAGGACCCAAAGAAACCAGTCTTCCAAAGGGAGTAGGTTCAACAACATAGGGTTGATCTTCCACCCCACCGCGCAAACCAAGGAGCCAGCCACGGCATCCAGAATGAAATGATTTGCGGTAGATACGATTGCAATCAGAATCGCAAAGGGGTACATGAAGCCAAGGGTGAGGCAGGCGAGACGACGAGGGCTCGGGAGGCGGATGGCCGGTGCTAGTTCGGGATGCGAGTTGTTGAAGAAAGGAAGCCGGAGGGATTTGGAGCGGCGATGTTCGGGCGCCAAAGGAATGGTCATGATGGTCACACCAATCATGAGGGAGTAGCCGAAGTGGAGGGACGGCATGGCAGCTGCAGAGAAGAATGAGTGTCAGTTGCAACCACCAAGGGGATGGTCCTCAGTTAAAGCGTACCATATTGGTTGCAGAACTTGTTCTGCGTCCAGACGCTGCTCGCGCCCTCCTTGCCGTGAACGGTATCAACAAATCCATAGCTCTTGGCTAGCTCAGCCTGAGGACCTGTATATGCCGGATCGCTAAGCAGACGCGGAGGCATGCAGGGCCAAATTGTGAACACCACGAATGCGAGCAGGTTACACACTGCCATAGTCCGTCTGCGCGCTTCGTAGAGCCAGGGTCCTGCCGGCGAGCCAGGCCCTCCCCATCCGCCAGCCTGTAGGCGACCGTTTCGGTGTTGAATAAGCCGGTTACTCGTGATAGTGTAGTAGTATAGCCAGACTAAGAATGCGATTGTACCAGGAATGTGTATGAATGAGTATAGCCAGTTAATGTGCATCATGAGGCGTGGATAGGACATGAAGAACTTTTGGATCGGGATCTCCCAGAAGATGTGGAGGCGCTTCTCCATTTCAATGACTTGGAGAGCATGTCGACGGGCGACATGCACGGTGCCTTCGACCAGGGTCACCGCTGTGAATGCTCGACCGAGTTGATAGACCTATGTGAAACGTAGGTATTAGCCCCGGCCCCGACCACGACATTGATTGTCTGCCCTTCCTTACCCAGTAGATGAGTGCCCAATACCATGCCTCGACCAGGAAGGGAAACTTATGGAGCACCCTGCTGAGTAGCCGATTGCGGAAGACAGCAGTATTAGGCGTCTGGACCACCGTGCGGAATCCCAGCCAACGAATCTCTCGCTCCCGCCATTTGTCCTCCTGTGACGGTAATAAAGATGGCGACAGCGATCTTTTGGAGTGTGTCAATTGCGCCTCCTCCACATCCAGATCATCGTCCCCGTCAACCGCTCGAGCGACCAGCGCCGGTTCTTCCCATCGGGGGTTTTTCGCAGATAAGGAGTAGTCGGTCGCTCGGTTGATCCAGGCTCCGCCGAAGAGCAAGACGACCACAGCGAGAGGTTCGAGGAATGCGCCCGCGCCCATTATGAGTGCCGTCTGTCTCCCTTCTCTTGGGGTATAGGTAGCGTCCGCGCGCGCAGCCACTCAGTATGGTATTCACAGGATAAAGAGGGTGCTATTAATAGTAGAGACGGGTGCCGTCCACAACACCGCACAGGATTAGGGCAGGTGGCGAGTAAGCAAAAACGTGCGTGCGGACAAACCGGAGCGTAGTCAGGTAGCAGGCGCAGTCAGAGAGCCTCGCCTTGAGAAAGATGCATACAGTGCAGAGTACATTCGCGGCGAGACCGACGAGTAAGGGCGGTCTGTCAACATTAATACTAAACCAAACCTTTTTGGCTGGAGACAGTACGCCCGTGGTGACGGTCAATACTAATAGACGCCATCTCTTTCTCTCGTTTGAAGGGTGGCACGGACGAATCGCACAGAGCCATCTGAGGTGCCAGTGGAGGGCGACGGGATAGGCGGCTCACTTCGGCTGCGTTTGGTAAGCAGGATGGGAGCGATTCGGGGTTAAGAATGAACCGAATGGTCCTGTGCATGGGGTGGATGATGGATGGTGCGGGTTTGTTCAGTTCAGTCCATGCCGCCTTCGATGCATAGGGACAGGTACGGATACTTGTATAGAGCGCACAACACACCTAAGCCTGTAGGTACTTTAGGTGTATGTTGTAGTGGTGACACCGCTTCTCCTTCTTGCGCCCGCCCCTGTCTCATTATTATTCTATTACTTGCAAGACTCCCATTGTCAACGCTCCCAGTCCTATTGGGATTTTTGCAATGGTCGCGTGCTCCCATCACCACCATCTTCGCCGCCTGTCCTGCTGCCTGCTGGCCCAGGCCCAGAGGCGTTACTGCATCCGCACACATCCGGGCCGCGAATGCGCCAAGACCACAAGCGCTCTCCCCGTCCTTGGCAAACCAAAGTTCGTTTCGCCAGCAAAAGGTGGCTGGATTTGTGCAGCGTCACAACCCACGTACAGAGGACATTCGGCCCTCCGGAGCCGGTTCATCCGAGTCCCCAGATTCTGCTCACTTTCGAGGCCCTTTTATGTCTGTGAGCTCCGCAGTAGTGGAAGGGCTGCATCTGAGCTCCTTCTGCGGCGACGTAGAGAGTAGTAGAGTCGCAGCATAGAGGTCAGCGCAGAACGTGATTGAGTGTGCTTGCCCAAGACGTCTGCCGTCTGCTTCAAGTGCAAGTTCGAGGAGGGCCGGACGACTGTTTCGTGTCACTCGCTTGACACTCTTTCAGTGTGCGTGTGAGAGTGAGTGTGAGTGTGACCGGCAACCCTAGGTGAGGTGACGGTGCGCATCTCCAGGAGTCTCGTATCGACTGAGTGCGCATGCATGCTGAGTTGTTCGAGGCGCCCGACAAACAGGGTCTGCCTGTGGCAGAAGTACAGGATTCAACCGTGACCGTACCCTCGTCCCTTGTATCATGCCCATCATCCAATCTTCCGGCCTATATTCCCAACTCCCCTTCCAACAACACTGAGCAGCAGTTGGCCCTCGCCCTTCTCGCCTTCAGCATCTCTGATTCCCCACCCTGCAGCACCAAACGCTCTGAGATCTCTGGCCAGTTGAATGGTGTGCTCAGATGCCAACACATCTCGCCCAAGCTGCACTCTTCCAACGTCTTCGGATCCCATCGCCATCAGGGTAATCACGGTTGAGGCGGCTTGGAGGCTCACACATCCACCTCTCTCCACGCTCTCCAGAAGTTGAAATGCACATATCCGCCCAATGTCTTCCGCTGGCTGGCCTCCTTCGGGAGGGCTAGAAGCATCTGCAGAAAACAGACAGCCAGTCGAGCTCTCCGCGACCAAGGACAGCCCGAACCCCAACCCGACCTTCTTCTTTGCGTTGGGGTTGTTCTTCTCCGGCGCCGGTACTAGACTAGCACTGCCCATATCAGAAAAGATGTAGATGTCGCCCACGAACTGATTCAGTACTCCGCGCGCCGCCTCGATCATTCTTGCATTGTTGCTCCCGCTAACACCCGTGGAGTATGCCACCCCTCTGATCTTTTTCACCCGCCCTGGGTTCAGCAGATGGAGTGTCTTGGGCAGCCTGACCTGGTGGCCGAACACCAGCTGGACTTCTCCGGCGCCGCCAATGCCACGGGGCCCCGGATTCGACCTCGTAAGTATCCTGAGTTCGATGTCTCTTTCGATGCCGAATTTTGCGTAGAGCGGAAGGATGGCCGTGCGAACAGTGTCGACGCTCATATCGCCCCATTTCTCCGTGGAGCTGGTGATCACCCCGGGCCCGGTGAACACAATGTTGAATCTGGCCTTGCTGAACGGCGCCAGCAGACATATCGGCAGCAGGAAGTAGCTCAGCCCTCGTGTATTGTTTGCAGGGATTTCATGGCGTAGCACCCCAGAGCTGGACACTCCACTGCCAGGCGCCGACCCGGTGATCAGGCCGGGCTTGTACAGCAGGACGGTGCCTGTGTAGGAGATTTCAATATGTGAGCCGTTGGTGACGGCTTCGAGGAGTCTTAGAAAGGAGATCTCATGGGGTGCCAGTCCAGGATTCGTGGGAGAGTCAGGCCGGATTTGGTCGATGCGGACGGCGCGCCCGAGGAGGGTCGCGAGGACGAGGCGGGAGGTGAGAGACCTGTGCGAGCTCAAGCGGACGGCAGGCTGAGATGTTGACATTTTGCAACAGACACAACGAGAGGAAGACGGCGCAATGTTACCGTAGGCACATGGTGGTCTGTCGTTTACGTGCTAGTCATGGGCCTGCGCAGGGCTTGAATTGCGTCGTGACACTCGTCCGATTAGCGTTCCGTTCTTCTCTGAATTTTTTTCTCCAAACCACGAGTTTCCCCGCGCAGCTCTCCAACGCTGAAGCCAAAGCTGACTGACGTCGAGTCACCAGTATATTCCGCCAGGCCATGCCGTGGTGTATTTGTCAGTCGTGATTACGGGTATTGATAAACCCTACCACCAGCCTTGTATCAGTGGTATAAAATCCCAGCGAGCCGCGTCACAGCTCTGTGACTCAAACAGCGTCCTCTACGTTTGCACCGTATCGGTATCTACTGAACAGCAATCAAAATGGCCGGCGGCGCATTGAATCTACCAAAATGGTATCTCTAAGCTGTATGTCCCTCTCCGCCATCTCGCTGATTGTTTGGCAGGCTGAAAGAAAATTCCCATCTCTTGCAACCTCCCGTCAACAACTATTGCGTCTACCATCCGTCCAACCCCGCCACAAGTGGACTGACGGTCATGGTTGTTGGAGGACCGAATGCGCGGACAGATTACCATATCAACACCACCCCGGAGTTCTTCTACCAGCATAAGGGCTCCATGTTGCTCAAGACAATGGACACCTCGACGGACCCTCACACGCCCGTCGACATCCCCATCTACGAGAACTCGCTGTACTTGTTGCCAGCCAACACTCCTCACAATCCTGTCAGATTTGCAGACACAGTTGGGATTGTGTTGGAGCAGCCGCGGCCTGAGGAATCAGTCGATACAATGAGGTGGTATTGCAAAACATGTCATCGTATTGTACACCAGGCGAGTTTCCATCTGACGGATCTCGGGACTCAGATCAAAGAAGGAGTCCTCGCCTTTGAAAATGATATGGAAGCCAGGACGTGTAAGAACTGCGGGACAGTCGCCTCTTCCCGACCCGCAGAAGGGGAGATACAGCAACCGCCGAGGTTCCCGCCTGATTGAGTGGGTTTGGCGACAACAGAATCATGCTGTTACAGACACTGAAGGGCGGCCGAGTCCTGAAGCGGCCCCAGCTAATGAATTGTTCTTCTCTTCCTCAATCTGTTGGAGTACGCGTGCTGCCACTTTCAGTGCTGTAGGAGGCAAGCCCGCAAGTTTTGCCACTTTTAAGGCGTGCGATTGTCTGTTGATACCCTTCTTCAAGCGGTGGACAAAGGCAAAGGAGCCATTTTCTGCTTCCAGAACGTCTGTGCAGTAGCACGCCAGCCGGGACCAGTCCCGAGTCATGTCAGCTAAGGCATGGAAATGTGTCGCAAACAGTGTCCGGCATCTGTTCGTGTAGTAAAGGTGGTGAAGACTTGCGTACCCCACGGCCGTCCCGTCCTCGGGAGTTGTGCCTCGTCCTACCTCGTCCATGATCACGAATGACCTCGGGGTTGCCTGCTTTAAAATCGCGGCAGTTTCGAGCATCTCCACCATGAACGTGGATTGGTCGCGAAACAAATCGTCAGCAGCGCCGATACGACTGAAGATTTGATCCACGAGGCCGATCTCAGCATAGGTAGCCGGCACATAAGAGCCGGTCTGTGCCAGGATTGTGATCAATGCGTTTTGTCGGAGAAATGTACTTTTCCCGCCCATGTTGGGCCCAGTTACCAGCCACACTCGTTCGTTCTGGTCGAGGACCAGGTTGTTGCTGACAAAAGAACGACCTTGTTCTTCCAACCCAAGCTTGACCGTAGGATGTCGGCCACCTATGATTTTGTGGTCCGTGCCGTCATTCAGGATAGGACGAACCCACGATTGTTCCTTTGCTAATATAGCAAATGCACTGGCAACATCAAGCTCATCCATGATTGATGCATTCCGGCGCAGCTTCACTAGATTCCGAATGACTAGTTGCTTCAACGACGCAAAGATTTTCTTCTCTTCGTCTCTGATGTTTAGCACCGCCTGGTCGATTCTCCGTCCTAGCCGTGTCCAGTCACTCAGGTAAAAGGATCGGGTGCTTTTGGAGGAAGACACCATTTTTGCATGGAGTGATTCGAGCTTGTCTCTGTTGTATCCGGTCGCGCTTCGGATGTGACATATATATCCAAGACCGGGCGTCGACTTAAGCATCAGTGTAGGGGCCTTCAGCTCACTTCTCAAGGTCTCCGCCAGTGCCACCTTCTCAGACTCCAGATTGCTAAGGTCTTGATGGAGTCGTAGCAATGTGTCACTGGCATCACGGCGCATGATCCATGGTTCCGCCAGTTCGATCTCATCTTTCTTCTGCTCATCAGCTTTATTGCTCGAACGTACGGCCTTGGGGAGTGACTGCAATTCCTCTGGAGCGCTGTGAAGAACCACGTCATGTGCGAGCGCAGCCATGCTTGCTGCTTCGTCCTCCTCGAGGCGATGTTTCTGCAAGAGCCCTTCTTCATCAATGGCAGAGGCTATGCGAGCCTGAAGGTGACTGGGGCCGTCTAGATCGAACCGTTGTAAAAGCCTCTCGAGTGGATGTTTTACGTTCAGTCCAAATTCAAGATCATGGTCTAGAATGCCACCCGATGAGGTCAGGGCAGACTGTAGGAGATCACGAGTGGCAATCGTCTCGGAGATGGCGCTAGCCAATGACAGCATATCGTCGGCATCGCCCTTGTTGAGAGCAAACTTTTGGACTATGCGTTGAACATCGTATGTTCTCCGTAGACGGAATATCAGTGAATCCGTGAGCTCATCGGATCCAAGAAACGTGGAGGCAAGCTCAAGACGATCGTTGATCTCGTCTAAAGAGGCCGAAGGGGACGTAAGACGATCCCGCAGCAGTCGGGAACCACTTTTAGTCACCGTCCGCTTGACTGCGTGAAACAAGCTGCCTCTCCCTAGCCCATCTCTCGCAGTCTCCAAGATCTCGAGTCCTCGCAGGCTACTCCGATCAATGCTTAAGATCTGATGAAGCTGCCTTTGACGGGGTGGTTGCAACCGAAGCTCCAGCCCCTGTAATCGATGTCCAACATAGTCTAGGAGGCGATGGCCTGCTTGTTTTTCCCCAATGCTAAAGATCTCGTCCCAGTCTTGGCCGACAGGGGATTCCAGCATGCTGTTCCATTTGGACATCGACACGAACTCACTCTTTTCTTCATGGAGTGTAAGAAGTCGGTGGTCGTGGCCTACGATTTCCTGTACTTCATCCTTGATATCGCTCGGGATATCAGCAGGAAGGATTATCTCTCGAGGAGCAATCCGCGTAATGGCGGAAGGCAATGAGCTGCGCTTGATATTTTGGGTGAGGAAATCACCGGTAGACAGGTCCAACCAGGCGAGCCCGATAGTCTGCTCTGGCTTCAAGCCGTCGGGGCTGTTGTCAGCCAGCGAGAGGTCCGGGTGCAACGACAGCAAAAAGTTATTTTCGTATGGGTCTAAGAACTTCTCATCGATCAACGTGCCGGGAGTAACCACTCGTGTGACCCGGCGATCATGCTTCAGGCCCCCAGATTTGACCTTGCCAGAGACATTGATGAGGAATTCGTCGCATATGGCAACATATCTATTGAGATCTTGCACCAAAGTCTTCAGGAAGCGGTCCAGTTGGAAGAATGGGAACCCTGCCATCGGGACCGGACCCAGCTTTGTCTGTTTGTAACCCACTTTGAGACTGAGGAGGGGCCCGTATTCTTCGGCCTGCTCGAAATATAGCTCGTAGAAGTTGCCAACTCTGGTGAGCAAGACGCAGTTGTCAAATTTTGCCATGTTCTGTCTGGCTCCTTGGAGCACGGTGGGATATTGAGGCTCGTCATCGCCATCGAGTTCTGGAAGGGATCCGGCCTCTATGGCTCCCTGCTGTAGTTCTTTCAATCTCTTCCTCGTCGTTGTCTTTGCGCCTCTGCGCTGCCCTCCTCGAGACTGCCACGGTGGGTTGGGGGGGGCCGCGAGAGGTAGGGATTGGGATTGAGGCCTCTGGCGCACACTAGGGCGGATGATGTTTTCAAGCAGTCGCAGATCTCTGCCATTGAACGGTCTCTTAAATGGCAGCATTAGAGTATCTGACGACGACTTGGTCAAGGGCTCGGGGAGAGACGCGTCGCGTAAAGGGCCCCAAGGGGTGTCCTGCCGCTTTAACGGAGGCTGCGCTGGAATATTACCCGTATCTGACCGTCTCTGCGCAGATTCAGCTGTTGAAGATGAAGATGATCCATCCTCTTAAAGGAACTGCCAATATAGGAGAGGGATTCAGCAGCATTATAGTTCCCTTCAGCTAGATGGGAACAATGACTTGCTCTTTGTTTCTCCCTCTTCCAAGAACCTCTAATTTGCAGCAAGCATGCAGCACTTCTTTGGGCCCGTATGAAGGTGACAGTTTGCGCTCTACGACAAACAGTGCCCAGAGTAAGACTATCAACGCATCTAGTATGAATTGGAACGCCCCCGCGAGATAATCGATTGACGAGTTATCCACAACTCCTAAGGGACAATCGCCGCTCTGTAGAAGAGACTCAGAAGCAACAGATGGCTGAATATGATGCCAGATGATCATCAGGTGGTGAGATCGCTATTACATTGTCCCACCAGACTGTATTATAACCTAGCCGGGCCACTGCCGGCTCTCCTTCCGTTGCAGCTCGGTGATGTGAGTATAGTGAGGTGTCAAAGGCTTGTCCGTATCCATGCTCTTGAGGGAAAGACTCTCAACATCGCGGTCAGTGGCCGCAGCGTCTGCCCATACTCGCTCGGGTGTTAGGGAACGCTGACCCGGAGAAGATGCCTTGAAATGGGATCCGGAAGGGTTGATGGACTTGTTCGCGCGGGAGTAACGGGCACGATAGGATGGTATGCCTGAGGGGTCTGAGCGGATTGACGCGTTCAGGTTAGACAGTGGGCGGGGAAATAGGTGTTTGAATAACGCTTTCAAGGCCGGTGCTGAGGCGCATATCATGGCAAGGTGTGCCTCAATATCCGTTAATGCCTGCGATTCGTCAGCAACTACCGAGTACTCTGTACAATCAGGCGTTGGTGGACTCACATATGTTGGCCAGCCGTACCACGTCACATCATGAGTGTGTGGACCCGGCATGTAGTTTGTGGTTACTTTGATCAGAAATATCATTCTCGCGATGCCGATGCCGGCAGTCAACAAGCCAGCGGAGAACAGCACATATAGGCTCAGTCGCTGTCTCCCTGACAAGTTGAGCTTTCTCGTCAAAAGCATGGGCAGCACGGAAGAGTAAACATCGGAGAAGACTGAAGCTGCGGCGCTGAAGACAATGGGTGCAAGTTCGTTTCCGCAGCGGTACGTTCCCGTGTAGGCCGGATTGTAGGATCTCCAATAGGAGGTGAGTGGGCGACAGATAAGAAACAGCTCCAACACCAATCCAACACTGTATGCCACCGTAAAGGCAATTGCAGTCCAAATCAGTTTGATGAACCACAGACTATGGCTTCCAGAGGAGATTTTGCGATAGACCAGCAGAATGGAGACTTTGGTGCAGGCATTGCCGAGGACAAAAAAGACTTCCACGAGCCATGCCCCCAGCCTAATGTGCTCGAGTTTTTCCGGGCGGACGTCCCAAATATGCATGTTCCAACCCCATGTCGTCAGGGCTTTGTATTCGAAAATGGTCTGTCCGATGGAAAAGATCTGCCGGTGTTAGATGATAGTGAGGGTCCGGGGAGGTCTCATACAAAGCCAGCTAGAAGTAGTCCATCATCCAGGCCAACGGATCTGGTCAGATAATGTCGAGAGTAGAGTCTGAGGGCAACTACTATCGCCGTGATGACCAGCGTGACAATAAAGAGCGAAGGAGAGCCTCGGGTAGGAGGGTTGTCGTAGTTGGGCATTGGCCATCCTTCTGGCCATACCGACGATACCATTTTTACCGGGTTCCCGCACCGTGCTCTCGGAACAGGAATCGGGGCAAGAAGTGATGAGACCAGGGCAGGAGCATGATATGAAAGATGATATGGAATTCTTGAAACATCGATCGTAGTTGCGTGCCTGGTAAGGATGGACTTTGCACAGTGTCACGCGGAGTAGTCCTCAGTCATCAACTGCCAACGGTGAAGGCGACCTCGGAGTCACGTACCTTGGGCTATGATTCAGTCATTATAGCTCTCGCGGGTGAAGCCACCAAGTGAAAAAGTCTGGTCATTTGTGGCAAGAGACGAACAAAGTCATGCAGGGGTGCCATGAGGCAAGAGTTAGCCGTTGTTGCTTTCGTCGCACCAACACCAATTACGGAGCACTCCACGTTGAATTCGCGAAGGATCTTGACACCGGCGGTTTTGGTGTGCCGGGTGGCCAATGTCCAGGCTGCGACTGGTAGTGAAGCACGATCGTCACTCAATTTCGAGTTTTCTCGGAGGCCCAAGTCCCTTTTCCCCCGAGGACAAATATCTCATCTCGATCATGGCCAAACCAGACCAGGGCACAGAGGACTAGCGCCCTACGTACATTGGTACAACAGTGGGAATACTCCTGGATCGACCGACGAGCCTGCCGGCCATTTTCGAGAACGGGGATGCGTACGGAGTAGTGGAGATGGATCATTCGGTGGGTTGTCCTAAAAGGGAAAGCTGTCTCCGATCCAGATGCATCCTGTTTTGTTTTCTGGATTATTCTCACTCTCATTTCCAGACGCCGCACGACTTCCTCAGAAAGGTCCAGAGCTTGTCTCGTGATTCTCATGCTTGGGAACGTCAAGAGGTTGTATGTCTGGCGCAGGACGGGAGATGTGGTGAAGAGGATGTGTTTTCGTTTTCATTACCGTACTTCCAAGCGAGGGTGCTCTGAAGAAGGCTATGAGGCCTTGACATCAGCCAGCCACGGACGTTGTCCGGCTCCACAGCAAGCCTATAATTATCAGTACCAGACTCGGAAGAACTCCTGGGGAAGAGTGGTGTGAAGAAATAGGCGAGAGACTAGGCGGAGGCCGGAGGGGAAGGATGCCAGGGGTAACGAGATGTCGCAAGGGGAAGCCGAGGCCCCCAAAGCCGCCGGGCTCCCAGGGAAATGTTGCATTGCATGTGCGTACTTGGTTTGATGATGCTTACTCAGACTTGACCCATGAGTCAGGATGATGACAGCCTGCAACATCAATATTCGCAACAGGACGTGGTACGGAGTGTAGAGTAGACAAGTCAGAAGAAAGGGAATGTTAGGGTTAGGGTTAACCTACGGATAGAGTCTAGCGTCGGAACTCCGCTCACGTGACCAGACAGGCCTTGGCGGTGGTCTGAAGTTCTACAATTAATTAAAGCAGCACACAGAATGACCAGACCTGGTACGGAGTTCATACGGACTCAAAAACAACGACATCGACAACGACCCTCCCATCGCCCTAACCGACCGACCGCTGCATGTCCCGCTCCTTCTTGATCCCCCGGGGCGGCGACGACCAGCCCATCGAGATCCAGATTGCCGAACCCGCCCTCCGTGCCCAGGGGTTGAGTTTGCAAACCTGGACCTCGTCGTTTGTGCTCGCTAGCCTATTGCACAGGCTCGATAAGGTGGACTTTCCTCTTCCTCCCTTGAGCGGTACTATCCCGGTGCTCGAGCTCGGCGCTGGTACAGGGCTGGTCGGGCTCACGGCTGCTGCTCTGTGGGCTGTCCCCGTCGTTCTCACAGACCTGCCACCGATTGTTCCAGGTCTAGCGGGCAATGTCCAGCTGAACGCCCCAGTGGTTAAGGGACTCGTACGCTGTGGCTCTCTGGACTGGGCCGCCCCCGAACGGCTGACTTTGCAGAATGGAGAGACTCGTTCTGCCAACACCGACAAAGCTCGTGTAATTCTCGCAGCAGACACGGTGTACTCGGAGGAACATCCCGAGTTGCTCTCGAAAGCCATTCTTCGATGGCTTGCTGATGGACCGTCTTCTCGACTGGTCTTGACTTACCCAATGCGGGTGGCGTACTTGGACCAGATCCGAGAGTTATGGGAACTTTTAGAGACGGGCGGGCTAGAAGCCATCCTGGAAGGTCGTGAACAAGCCTCTGTTGATGATTGGGACGACGAGTGCCTGTGTGAATGGAGCGTGTGGAGATGGAAACAGAGCAACCAGAAGACGAGGTAACATTTGAATACAGTCAGCATCGTCCCAAACACCAACACCCCAACCCTAGAGCCGCTCTCCTGGGGACCGTCTAGAGAGTACACACCACCGGGATAAAGAATGTCTGTCCTCATCTGAACTTGCTAGTCTCAGTCTGCATCCTCCGGCATTGTTATTGTTTGGGAGGAGGCGATGACCGAAATTGCCAATGAAGCTGTGCGGCGTCGAACCACCTCCCTATGCCGACATGGATCGCGACCAAAACGTGGGATTGACATGGATGTACACCCTGTATCCCTGCATAGTGGACAGAGTACTCCGTACTCCGTAATGCATCTTCGACCAGCCTCCCATTCCCGAGTCTCAATATCAATGATCGCACCTCTCAGCGGGACGGTCAGGGCTCCGGTTCTGCTCGAATTTGAATCAACTACATGTACGCTCGACATGAACCAGCTACTTCTTCGGCCACAGGCTGTGTTCCCACCTGTACAAGTGAGGATGAGGGTGGTAGGCTGTATTCTGTCCTGCCTCATCTCCATGATCCAGGGACCTATAAGTCTGGAGAGCTGAATTGGTCGCATGGTCTGTTCTCTGTCTGAACTGACTCCACCTTTAACCCCGAATTGAGTGCGATGGCTTTACCCGATATAGATTTGGGGGCAAGATCTCCTCTTCCCATTGGGCAACAATTGACATCAACAATTGACATGCAATTGTGCATTCCAGATATTGACATCCAAGAATATACTCTGCCTCCTAGGTAGCTTCTATGCTCTCTGGTTCTAAGACTCGGGTGTAGTCTGAGCTTGCAGCCTGATATAACAGCATTGGTGCTGGGTCTACTCGCGCGAGGACTTGTCAAGAGGGTGGCTCTACGAAGTACTTGGGAGGAGGCCATCGCCGAAGTTGCCAATGAAGTCGTGCGCCGTCGAAACCACCTTCCTATACTGACATCGGTCGCGACAGTATACCTGCCGAACGAATAATGAATGGGGGATTATGCGACGCTGTCCATGGATGCGAATATGAATGATGGTTGGGAAGATCATTTACTGGATTGGTGTTAGGGGATGTCGTGCTTCTGCGGGCCGATTGCAACATTCTACAAGAAACAGGGAGTGCAACCATCATACCAGACACGATACCAGCTCATCTGTGGGACTATTGCTGTACCGATAGTCACGATGTCACCGTGTGTGACCAGATGGGGCGCCATGACTACGTCTCTGATGAAGATCGGTGATGCCCTGGAAACAGTGATTCCGGTATATACATAAGGCTACGAGCCCGGACTGCTGGTTTTCTCCAGCTCTGGATGTCCAGGGCTGATTGCTTCTCATGCGAAAGTCACAATGGCTGCTACCTCAGCTTTGACGTCGCTCGAGGCCGATGACAAGATCACTGCCGCCCATGGCAGACCGCCCTCGGTGGCTAGGACGTCGACCAACTCGGCCGAGCTCGACGATGATTATGATCTGTACAGGCGAAGCGACGAGCAGGAACTGGATCCCGCCGACTCCAAGCGGGTGGTGCGCAAGCTCGACGTGCGCATCGTTCCCATCCTCTTCCTGATCTACCTGCTGCAATATCTGGACAAGAATGGCATCAACTATGCCAGTGTGTACGGGCTCCAGAAAGGCACTCACCTACACGGACAGAACTACTCATGGCTCGGATCGATCTTCTATTTTGGTGCACTCAGTTCCACAGCTTCTGCCAACGAGTCGTCGCTAACGGGGGCGTTGTTCAGGTTATCTCTGGGCTCAATATCCGGCCGGGTATTTGCTGCAGCGCCTGCGTATTGGCAAGGTGATCGGGGCCACCACAGTATGTTGGGGCGTGATCCTAATCACCACCCCGGCGTGCAGTTCGTTCGCCGGAATCGCCGTCAACCGTTTCCTGCTCGGTTCGTTTGAGGCGGTCGTCAACCCGGGCTTCATCCTGATCATGTCGATCTGGTACACGGCGGCGGAGCAGCCGCTGAGACTGGAAGCTTACTACTGCACCAATGGCATTGCAACTATGTTTGGCGGGTACGTACGAGCAGACCCCATTATCCACCATCCACCATCTACCATCCTAAGCTGCCGGGATCTGTCGCTGCCCTCTCTTCGCGCAGCGGGCCTTGATCTGGCCTCTATCCGACCAACTCCTGTACTGACCCATGTCTCAGCCTGATCGGGTATGCTGTCGGACACATCAAGACAGGGCTGCCACGGTGGATGTACGTGTTCCTGATATTCGGCAGCATCAGTATAGCGTTGGGGATTGCGGCCATGATCATGCTGCCGGACCTGCCGTCGACGGCCAAGTTTCTGACGGATGGGGAGAAGCTGGTGGCGGCCAAGCGGGTGTCGGCGAACCGGCAGGGGATCAAGAACCGGCACTTCAAGAAGTACCAGGTGTGGCAGACGATGCGCGACCCGAAGACGTGGATTCTGTTCGTCATGGCCACGGGCGCCCAGGTGCCCAACTCGGCCATCACGCAGTTCACCAGCTTGGTGATCAAGTCGTTCAACGTCCACACGCTGGGCACCCAATACCTGCAGATCCCTGGCGGGGCGGTGCAGTTTGTGGCGCTGCTGGCGGGCGGCGTGGTGTGTTCGCGCTGGCCGAATCTGCGCTGCATCACCATGATCGTGGCCAACACCATCTGCATCGTCGGCTCTGCTCTGCTGGTCGGCCTGCCCACCAGCAACAAATGGGGCCGGCTGGTCGGCCTGTGGCTGTGCTATTTCCAGGGCCTGGGCTTCAGCATGAGTCTGACCATGGTCAGCTCCAACATTGCCGGCTACACCAAGAAGCAGCTGACCGCTGCCATCTTGTTCACCGGCTACTGCGTCGGCAACATCATCGGCCCGCAGACGTTCAAGGACAGCGAGGCTCCGCGTTACCACTCGGCCTACATTGCCATGTTGGTCGGTTACGTCGTCAAGTTGGTCGCCGTCGTCGTCCTCTACATCTACATGTTCCTGGAGAACAAGAGGCGGGACCGCGACGCCGCCGCCGTTGGCGTCCTGACCGCCCACGAGGAAAAGGAGGCCATCGAGCACGGCATGCATGATGTCACTGAACTAGATAACAAGGGCTTCCGCTACACGCTGTGAAGGACGAGGGACGAAGGACGTGCCGCTGGCTCCTGAATCTGTCTGTCATCCTGGTCCTCAAACTTCAATATGATCAATCTTCTTCCACTTCTGCAAACCAGCCTTAGCCCTCTCTTCCCCCTCCCCAAAGACGCCCCCCTTTGTACTGAAGGCAGAAACCCTCCTTCCTCCATGGACCGGATCGTGAGCAGCTGTCCAAACCCACTGGCCGCCGCTAGGTTGGACACGAATCCATATTCAATTCAGATCTACCAGGTAGGACGTTCATATCCAGTGTCAGTTCATTGCGGCTTTGAAAACGTGTCAGCTCAACCCTATCATTTGGCATTCCAATCCCGATCGATCCCCATGCACTGCGTCTTGTTACGGGTCACTAGTATACTAGCCTTCATTTTGCATTCGAGCTCGCGAGGCTCCTACGACCCCATTGACTAAGAAAACAGCACACGAGGGCTTTCATGGTAAATTGTGTTTCAATTCCGACTGCACATATATGAGTAGCCACCTGTCTAACACCCTTGAAGACTCAAATACTCCGGCCCAGTTACAGCTAGCCTACAGCCCTCAAATCCGTGCCGATGGGGGATAATCTCGGAAGTTGGCGTTCAGAGGGTCACGGTCGATCATGAACGCAAATCGCTCCTCATTCGCTTTCAGATACGCCGGGATGTCGGTTCGTGAGTCAACCTTTTCGTACTTCTCGTCTTCCCGGTCAAACAGGTCCAGTCCATTGCGGACCCGTCGGACAATTTCCGCGGGATCTTTGAATTCTGGTTGATCATATTCAGTGTGGGAGAAGGAGCCGATCTTGTTGGCCATCTCAGCCACGGTTTCGAAGCAGCTACTGCAATGCCAGGACGAATTGAAGATTTCCCGATCACTCTGGCCCATGCGGAGATTCTCTGGTCGGATGGTGGCACTTCCATGGTAGAATGTTGCCTGAGGGTGGTACCAGTCACTCTCGGCGTGTTCCCATTGAAAGGAATAGTAGAAGAAGCGGCTTCTCAGCGTGACTCGTTGAGGATACTCGCAGTTTCGAAGCAAGGTGATGGTCCACGGGCGTGGTATCTCGTCGGTGTCGGACACCATGATCACGTCTCCCAGGCTGGGTGCTTGGACACCGACGAGACTCGGAAATACTGCATCAAACAGTGAATTGCGCTGGTATGCCTCACGCTCCCAGGTCGAGTTGTCCTCCATGCCATCAAAGTCCACCATCCGGTATATGATTTGAGGAGCAAACCTCTGGAAACGCTCAAAGTTGTCTTTGAAGTGAAGAGGCTTCCGCAGATTCGTGAACGTGCGAGGAGATTCCACAATGACAAAATAGTCCACCTGGCGGTGAAGCTCATTTAGGCGGATCTCCAGCCAGTCCAACTCGGTTCCAATCAAAAAGAGGTCGTAGACCTTTCGATGGTGGTGACGCTCGGGAAAGACTGTGAAGTTTTGGCTCTTACACAACTCCTCTGCTTGTTCAACGGGAAGGAAACTGGATTTGTAATGATCCTTTGGCCAGGTCACACTCAGCCCATAGGTCGCTGATTCCACTTGGTCGCCTGCTGTGCTCAATTGCACGGTGTGAAGGAGAAAGAACAGGGCGACAGCGGCAATGAGAACTCGTCGTAAGTATCTCTTCCACGCAATGCCTAACTGATAAGACATTACCCCTGGTCGAGGACTTTGGGGGGCCGTTTCCAAGTCCTTGTCGTCCGACAGAGGGATCAGTCGGAGAGGCATGTTGTACTAGTGGGTGAAGAGAGAGCAAAGGAGTGGGAAACCTTTAGGGGATGAGGCAGAACTCAAGGGACCCACGGGGAGGACAAGAGGAGCAGGTCGGGGAGACTGACTGCAACAGCTTGAAGACGAACAGGAGGAACTCGGAGCGGGTGAAGATCAGGTTCAGGTGGAATGGAACATCGCAGTTGCAGGCACAGTCACAGCCGCAGCGCAGTTTGGCGCCTGCTTCTCTCACCATCACCACCTCCTTCTCCTCCTCCTCCCCAGGCCTCTTCTCCACTCCCACCTCCCACTCATTCATCCGCCCATACATGAGCGCCTCCCTTGATCGCTCCTCGTACAGTTTTCTCGGTCTGTCTGCTTCCTATTCTAAGCTCTCACACCCTTCCCCCCACACGGCTCGCATCTGGATGCCATGAATGGCTTCAGCTTCGAGACCTCCACTGTAGACCAGCGTGGCGCGGGCGTCCCAGCTGTGAACTCCCCATCTTCCCGCGAACTTACAAGATCACTAAAAAATTGCAAGACGGCACAGATGTGGTCCGTGCAGACCTGGGGGCGTCACCGCGGTCTCGGACACCCTTTGATGCCGGTACCGGGAGAATCGATGCCATGTGGCCAGCGCGGCTTCTCAACGAATCCTGCTCTTTCTTTCTTTCTTGACCATGACTCCACCAAACCGGGGCAGTCGGGGAGGATGGACACAAATTGTGGACTAAGATCTATGCAGGGCCGATAAGCGAGCGATTTTCTGGATCCAGCAGCAGAAGAAACTTCCCATCTCCAAAGGCGAGGTCTGTGCGTTTTGTAATGACCCGATACGAGAGTCAGTTTGCAACCAGGCACAATACCGACCAGGCCCACAGTTGGTGAGGCTGCTGGCCCCCGAACGTGGCCAGCCTTGTTCTTCACAGACCTCTTAAGACTCCTGGAATGAGCAAGCACCCATATGACCCAGGGGTAATGCGAGAGCGATCGGCACGAAAAGCAAGATGAGATCCTTGTCACGCCTGCCATCCTTTGCTGGCCTTGTTATTCTTGGGTTTTCGCTCGTCTATCTGTTCCGACATGGACCAGTTATCCAGGCGAACTGGGACTCCGCTGAGTTATGGAACAATATTGCAGAAACGGCAAATGGGTACAAGTACAGCTCAGAACTGAAGCTGTCCCCGAGCAACACAGGAGATGACTCGTCGACACCCTCTCCTGCGAGTTCGATCTCGACACAAAGCTACGAGGCTGCATTTGCTGCGCCGTCGCAATCTACCCGAACAGCTTTGCCACCTTCAGGTCAGAATTCGAATAGCAATGCTCAACTGGGTTGCCCCTGTCCAAAACCAAATCTGGTTCTCAGTGCCATCGACGGTCCGGGATGGCAGGATCAGATCTTCATCTTCATGCAATCCCTCGAGTTAGCCCTCGGGGAGGAATCTCTGGCAGCACACCGGCAAAAGTCATGTCCACCTGCTGCAGTGACTGTGAAGATCATTGTTCCTCAGTCTCTTTCCCAAGAACTTCCCACAGGCTTTACTGCCCTTCTGCAACGCTATCCATCTTTGGAATTCGTTGGATCACTTCCCGAGATCACGGATGTGCCAGTGGTTCTTCGACGATTCCAGGGCTGGGCCGATCTCCTGAACACAGTCTCCGGTCAATATGATAACGTCCTGGTCTGCGACCTAGACGTGGTCTTCCAAAGAAACCCTTTTGCCATGCCAATGCGGCCTGACACTGAGATTCTCTTCTTTGCAGAGTGGCGTGGGCTGAAGATCGGCCAGTGTTCTGTGCATGTAGCATGGTTCAATCACTGTGCAAGTCCCGAAACTGGATCGTTCATTGGCCATGAAGAATCCTCGGCCTATATGCACCTCAATCGGATTTGTGCAGGTTCTGTCTACGGAACGGCCAGAGCGATCGCTGTCTACATGGACCTAATGGCGACGCAGCTTCAACGTTCCAACTACCAGTGCAACGACCAGGCCATGCATATTCACATCTACTATTCCTCCCTTCTAGACAATACCCTGCGAAGCAAAGGTCTTGGTCGAGCAGTGCTGGTGCCAAATGAAGAGGCGTTGTTTGGAAGTATCGGCACGACCCCAATGGTAACATTCAACGAATGGGGGGAAATCTTGAATGAACAAGGACAAGTGCAACATGCTGTTCACCAATACAAGACGCACTCCCTTTTGTCTGATATTGTCTGGCGAAAGTACGGATGGCTCACTGAGGTCGGCCAACCTGAACCCATACCTTCGGTGGCGAAGATGGTTGAGGAGGCGGCGGGTGCCCTTGATTTGTCAGGCAGCAGCCATGATGCTGATTCCATTGATGACAACCTAGGCTCTCACGGTGCAGAGTATGACTTGAAGTACGTCAGGCACGATGACCATGATGGTGGAGAAGCTGAATACCAGCAATATCGCCTCGTCAGTGTGAGCTCTGACACGTGTGGAAAGAGGGAGGATCTTTGCTCTTGCAAGTATGAGGACTGTCAAGTTCATTACGAGTGGTATTGACTAGCAAAATAAATCATGAGCGACTGGTTAGGCACACGTTGAAACCCGATTCACAGTGTATCGACATAGGGTGCTATATATCTCAATATGAACTTTATATCAGATTCTTCTAGCTTACGAGAAGACACCGTTGTCACTGTTCAGTATGTACTCCCACTTCAAAAACAAAAAAACAAAAAAAAAAACACCAAGCCATCGCATGGTATTGTAGAAGCGGCCTCTGACCATGTAGAGTTACCGTCACGATTGCCCTCCGTATTCTAAACTATGGCCGTCCTTTGCTATTTGATATCTCGAATGGGAACTAGGGCCGTGAAGTCTAACAGGTATTCTGTCTCACTTGGTCATCTTACTCTGTTCCAAGTACAAGGCATACGAGTACCTGTGTCAGTAATCAGCACTGCGCCACACACACACATATGGCACAAAAATAGGAGAGGGATTGAGTGGCTGGCTACAAGCAGCAGAAATGGAAATGCCGGATCCCAGACTTGAGACTACCTAGGTAGATCCGACTGCCGAGGCCGAAGACTGAAGACTCACCCGATGATACCCAGCACGGCAAGGGCGATGCCCAGCGCACTCCCGGTCCCAACGACCTCATGCTTCACCAACCAGCCCAGCCCGATGACCAAGACGGTCTTGAGGTGGCCGACGACGGTGCTGCTGACGGGCCCGGCAGCAGTGATGATGTAGAACTGCGAGACGTTGATGAGCACGGCGCACATGCCGCTCTGTCGGAAAGTGGACGAGTTAGCGTGGTGGCTTGGATCTTTGCTTTGGGAGTTTGGTGCAGATGCAAAATGGGATTGTGGACTGGGGTTGGTGTATAGGGATTCGGACTGGGGTTGGTGTATATGGGATTCTGGACTGGGGTTGGTGTATATGGGACTCTGGACTGGGGTTGGTGCAGATGGGATTCTGGACTGGGGTTCGTGCATATGAGAACGGGGCGTGTAGGGTTACAAGATGTTAGGGTGTACTGGGCAAGGGACATGTTTTGGAGTAAGTGGGCATGAGACAGGGTTTGAGTAAACGGGCATGGGACAAGGTTTGAGCAAGTGGGTATGGAACAGGGTTTGAGTAAGAGGCATGGGGCAGGGGTTTGAGGTACTGGGTATGGGACAGGGGTTTAAGGTACTGGGAATAGGACAGGGTTTGAGTAAGTGGGCATGGAACAGGGTTTGAGTAAGTAGCCATGGGATAGGGGGTTGAGCATCTAGGCGACGGTGATGGTCCTGAACGGGGTGGGGACTTGCTTACCACGGCGATCATGCACCAATGCCAGGAGGTGAGCTCGGTCCAAACAGGATACTGGTCGGCAAAGTAGCTGGACACCGCGAGCATGAGAGCACCCAGAGGCAGCTGGTTGAGCAGGAGCTGGACGCTACTCAGCTTCAACCTGCGGTGGTACGCCGACACCCAGACGGTGTAGAGAGCGGAGACGGCGACGGCGAAAAAGCCAAAGATAACACCGAGGATGGTTGTCGGGTTCATGCCAGATGGTTCGGCGGACGACAAGTCTGGGGTGGGCTTAGGCTTCGACAGAGCCTCGAGGTACGAGACGAGCCCGACACCGAAGCAGGCCGGGACCAGGGCCAGCACAGCCAGGGCCGGGATGCGGGCGCCGTAGATGAACAGGTTCATCAGTACCGTCAGTGGAGTGAGCAGGATCCGCACAATCTGGAAGAACACCACCGACGAGTGGGCCAGCGCCAGATTCTGCAGCACCACGTTGGCCCCCATAGCCACGGTGAGCGGCAGAAGGGCCAGCACGCTCGTCCGAGCAGGGCTGAAGACGCCCACCGCCGGTCGTGACGCCACGTGAAGTGTGATCCATGTCATGGCGAAGTGGAAGGCCACAAAGCCAAGCTGGCACTGGCGAAGGGCCGGGTCTGAGAATATCGTCTTGTTGACATGGACCTGGACACAGCACAACCCAACTGGTGAGAATCTGGCTGTAACTGCAGGTGAAAATTCGGCAAGGCAGGGCAGGGCAGGGCAAGGGAGATATTGTGACTTACGATGGCCACTGTGGCCAGGATGTTGACGATGATCCACCTCATGGTCTTGCCATCCATGGCTCCCTCTCTGCTCGTGCGAGGCTCGGGTACAGGGGTCTGTGTGCCACGTTTCTCGTCAGATATAAGGGCTGCCTTCTCCATGTCGACCATCTTTGTGACAGTAGAGCGCGAATCGTGATTGACGGGCAGTGAAGTGATATCACGTTAGACGGAACGGTTGACAATGCGAACCAACGGACAGAAAATCGGCAGGCAGCGCTAGGGAAGGAACAGGGGGAATGTATACACCAGGAACAGGGTGTCTGAATATCATCAATCAGCACGAGCAGTACTGCTCTGTGATGCTTATGGCGGGACTGCATGCCGTGGAGAGAGTCTCATTCGCAATGAGCAGGGAGTGGCTCTTCACGAAAGGTCCGAGCAGACGAGGCTTCCTCTCTCAGTCAAAAGCACTTGAAAGGGTGGTCCTACCTTGCTCGCTGGGACTCTGCAGTACTGGGGTCCTGCTGGCGGTCACAGATTCGAGCGTATGAATACGCCCTCGTCCTGCAGCTTTGTAATGTCAAGTGTCCACTGTTGCACTAGCGTGTTGGCCTCACCAAAAGGAAGTATGTTGCGAGTTCCATGAGTCTTCCTCGCCGACAGAAAGCGCCGATCTGAGACATTTTCTCGTCCGTCCGCGCTGACGAGAGTCCGGGACGGGTGGTAATGTGCTGTGTCTGCGTCGGGATTGACTGAACATCGGCTCGATTTGGGGCAAGCTGCCAGCCCGCATTGCGGGAGAGAAGGGTTGGAGCGGGCCACTAGCCAGAAAAAGGTACACGGCATAGCTATAGTGGGTATGCCAAGGCCAAACATGCCGATATCAAGCCTGAGGCTACCATACCACGCCATCCTGATCCTGGGCCGCTAAGGCGAGCAGGGATGGCATACCGATATTTGCTGGCTGAAAGGAAACCAGGCCGGAAGGCTACACTGCCCGTGTCAAGCAGATGAAGCAAACCGAAAGAGAAATAGACTGGCTGGGCCGCGACTGTGAAGGAATATGATGTATCTCCCCACGAATTTGGCCGTGACACTGTCGCGTCCATTGATGCTAATCATGGAAACCCCCCAGGTCCTTTTCTTGGCATAAAGATCCATGAGAACTGATATGCTATGGTTCTAGGCCTTCAATGTGCCGAGAATTAGGCCTGACAAATTCGTCCATGGAGACAAGGGGCCGAGAACTGCAATGCGGTCTCTTCAGAAGCCCATGGTCAGCTCTGTAAAAGCCTCAAATGCCATTGTGCAAGGACCACAAGAGTGGGATTGTCGACGTCGACGGGAAGGTACCGCAGATCTGAACCGCATCGGTCAAGCAATACCAGTGGTGGTCCAAAATCGCACCCAGAGCCATTGGTTGAAGTTCATGTGGTCCCGGCGGAGCACGTGACCAGGCGGGAAGACGTAGTTGATCCGAGCTTCTACTCTGCAGGATTTAGAGATTTAGACTTTCGCAATCAATACAATAGCTGTATTTTGGTATCTTGGCTCTCTGACATGGACATGATCGCCGGGCCCGACTGGCTGGTGTCAGCCACGTGGGAAGTGGTCTGTCCTGATCAGAGACAGGGCTACCGTCCCGAATTCCTGGTAACAAGCTGTGGATTGAACTTGGACCTAGTGGAAGGGAAGCTAGAGTCTTGATGAAGGTCTTGCTTTAGCGTCCTGCTACAAAGACACGGTTGGGGAAGGTTTCTCGTCCCGGGCTTTGGTCCGCCATGAAAAGTTTTCCGCACTTTACCATTTCGGACAGACTGTAGATGGGAACACGTTCTGCACAGACGGTTTCCAGGAGAGTGGTTGCCGATTCCGGGAGGATCGGAGACAAGCGATGCAGCTGGCCAAAGCACATCCGTCCGTGGGCCTTCAGATGAGCATGACGTGCAACCAGAGTAACGGCGCGGGAGATGTACTTCCGTGGCATGATGAGTCGTCCACGTCTTCAAGATGAACACGGTTCTCTGCGCCGTAGAATGCACCTAGATCTTGACCCTGGCAAGGATCCTAGCGAGTAGCAAGCTTTGTGACTCTTCTACCAGCTAAGGGATAAAACCAAACCCTCAGCAGAAGATGTGGGCCATTCCTGAAAGACCCTCCGGCTGACATTTGGGTTCTTCAGGCGCGTTCTCGGAGTGTCAAATCGTATCCGTGGACAGTGGACACAAAGGTGCCGCCGGTAAGTTCCTGGACGGCGTTTATGCATTGCCATCCTGCCAATCATCTGGCTGAGGCACTAATGCACAATGCACAGGCGGTTCTTGCCTAGGAGTCAGGGACACGGCATAGATGGGCTCTACAGAGTAATGCGGCGCCAACACGGAATTCGCTCAAGATCCACCCGGCCGGAAGAGGAAGAAAGATAGAATTGTCATAGAAGAAGGCAGGAAAAAACTCGGACGATGGGTCTCGCACCAGCTCCCGTCGCCGTCGTGGATTTTGAGTTCGCGCTAGTATCACGTGCGGCCGCTATGCCGCTTCGGGGGTCCTCCGCCCTGTTGAGCTGCACTGGCAGTTTGAGCAACCTACTCACTACCATGTACGGTGTACCTTATGTAGCAGCACATTCTGTTGCTTGCCGGTATCCCGCTTCCAAAGTGTGTTTTGTGGGCGGGATCATACACGGCCAGCATCCGCCCTTGCTTGTCCTGGTCCTGGTGCTCTGCAGACCGCGAAAACGAGTGGCTCTCTCCCCTTCGACAGGGTACACCCTAGCCCGTGGCACCGGTGCTTTCATCCGATCCTAAACTTGCTCCTCAACATACGCGACAACCTACCGGTCCACAACGGACAATTGGCTAGATGCCAAGTAAGAAACATGGTGGGGGTGCTCGCTAACCCGCCAGCCCGCCTGCGGGCGAGATCCCAGGAATATGGCTCGGGTGAGCTGGGAAAGTTTTCTCTTGTCGGCAGGCAGGACTGTCATGGAAGATCGCCATGGAGATCTGTGGGCTCCTCAAGCTCCGGAGACCTCTAGCCCCTGCCGGCTTCACGTGGCTTATGCTGGAGCCTCGATCGCGACAACCTCCACTACCGCAGGATTGGTTCCATCCGGGAGCGTGTCCACCGTAAGTAAGCTGTGTAAGTGCCAGCCTCGAAGGTTTGAACTTTGTCCTGTGTTTAGCTTACCCGAGCTTGAACTTTCGGCGATCAAATTCTCATTTCCGGATCATTCTGGCGTGACTATGGCTATGCGTTTGCTCGGAGAGACTGGCGGAGCTTCGGAACCACCCTTTCGCCTCTTGAAAGGGTCTTCTCGAGTGAGATCCCAAGTCCAGAAGGAGAGGGATCTGGACAAGATCCAGTTTGGCTGCTTATGGACTTGCTCCCGCTGCAAACTTCACTCTTCGGGATGGTGTGGATCTTCTTTGCACACCTTGTCCGACAAGCGAAAGCCTTGCAACAGCGGCCTATTCGCCTAATATGCCTTGGAATGGCAAACGGTTGCCCAAGGAAGGGCTCGTCCGCTTGCCATAGAGTGCTGGACCTCGCTTGCCTCCCGATATCCCCAGGGCCAGTACCCTTCGTACCAGACTATTGATTTTTAGTATCGAGCGGTGCTCATTACACAGCTTTACAGGACGCGGGACCACATCTTACCCTTCCAGCATCTTCAGAGTCATGCTCCCCCATGAAGTTCGGGGGGATCGGAGGATACTATGGGCCTTCTATGCCTTTTCCTCGGTCTTGGAGCATGCTTGATAAATTCCCCACCAGCACCACAGTACCACGGAGAAGCTGCGATTGAGGATGCACAGGCCAGGTGTGTGCTGAAGCCGAGAAGTGCTCTTGTTGCTCTCCGTAGGGTTCATATCTACCTTAGGCAGGCATCGTTGTCTTTGTTCGATTCTTACACACCGCTCTGTCTACAAGAGCTTTCTTTCGTTACAAGGCATTTGCTGTCAGGATGTTTCGTCTTCTTTTGCTTGTTTTTACCATTGTCGGGTTCGGACCCTGGGTCCGTCCCATTCACGCTGCACCACGGGCAATAGGGTTTGATGCCCCGCGCGGAGATTTGATACAGGATGAGTACTTGCATGTCAGTCAATACGGAACTGAGAAGCAGGCAATCCCCCCTGCACATGTTCTAGGGAGGAGATGGGACAAGGTAAGACGTGCCGCTGTCACTGCTAACTCCCAGCAAACCCAGGCTGCCCAGCAGACCCAGGAGACTCAGCAGTTCCAGGCGACTCAGCAGACTCAGGAGACCCAGCAGACGCAACAGACGCAACAAACTCAACAGACGCAAGAGACTCAACAGACTCAGCAGACTCAGCAGACCCAACAGGCCCAGGAGACCCAACAGGCCCAGGAGACTCAGCAGACTCAGGAGACTCAGCAGACTCAGCAGAC